ATAGGCTGCAATACCCAAGGCTTCCACTGCTTCTGGTTCAAATTCGTCCATATCCTTATCTTGTACTGCAAGTTCAATCAATTGACCCAACTCTTCTTCAATGAGGGCTTTGCGAATCTTGGAATTGCTATTCATCTCTACACCTCTGGAGGCATGCAAGACCCGTGTGACTTGGACTGGAACATAACATTCATTGTCCTCAAAATAAGATCGAGTGGAAGACGGAGCCTCTTTCATAGCATTGTATTCCTCCACACATTCCGCAGACATCATGAGATGATTTAGATCATCCAACGAAGATACCATGCTAGTAGTAGGCATGTGAACTTCCATGTTTTCAGTGGTGGTCGATTCGACTTCAAAGGTTTCATTGATGGTATCATCCCCCGATTGGAGCATGTCGGATGTTGTCGTGGCAGAATCATCATACTCTACCACTTCTTCGTCGTCTTCCTTGTCTTCAAAAATGACAGGACTCTTGGTTAGCTTCTTGTTTTCGGCTCTCATTTCCGCAAAAGGAGAATAGGATACCGAGGCAAAGGCTTCGAGCAAAGAAGCGTCATCGACATCCATGGCATTGGCAAGAGGAGTTTGGGCCAAAGTGGTTGGAGAAGATCGAGAACCGACAGGAGTTTGGAGAGACCGTACGTCATCATGATGTTCGTTGCTCCTGGTGGAGGCAAACAACGACAAGGTATCCACAGTTAACACTTTCTTCTTTTTCTTCTTACTGTGGTCATCATCTGCCACAGTTGGGGACGCGGCAGGAGAAAAGGACGAGGATTCCAAGGCTTGAATCAATGGAAGATCATCATTTTCGCTATAGCTTGTGTTCTTGGCACCTTTGCCGTAGCTGTTGGTGGGAGGAGAATCATCATCATCAATCATGGATGGCTTGGGAGAGCAGAACATGATGACGTTTACGTTGGTGATGCTGTGTGATGAAAGGATCGAACCAAGATTAGAGCTGAACAGTGTTTGTAGACTGTCGAAAAGTTGACTTTTTCACACGGTAGGTAGGAAGTTGAATGTGTGTTGGTAGACGTGGAAGATTTACGTTTGTTTTTGAAAGGTCGATTTCCAAACGGTTTTTGCACCTGCACGCCAGCCACCATTCTGTGAAGGACCAGAATTAGTCTCGAATACATGAAAGTTCACCAGAAAATGCAGGCTCATGACCTGTTCTCTTTTTGTCACACATGAAACTCAGTACTTCCCCTACATGGACCTTGCACCCCCCCCACATCGGATTTCTGTTCCGTCCGTCATCTTCCATCAAAAGATTCCTCGACTTCTCATCAGCTTCCATTTTTCTGAAAATTTGCAACTGCCGCCGATCGAGACGAACCACACAAAATTCAAAGTCGTCATCGGCATTATTCATCCCATCACCATGGCCAAGTTGAAAACTACATTGGCAGCAGCCTTGACACTACTACAATGCAGTAGTTTAGTACAGGCTGCCAACAGCAACAACAACAACAACAAGAATCTTCAAGCAAACAGAATCAAAGGGTTTCGCAAGCATCCATTTCTAAACGACCACAAGAATTTGGCATCCGCCGTTTCCGACATTAGTGGAGGTGCCTCGGCCTTGCTCGACGGTGGCACCGACATTGAATCCATTGAAGTTTCCATTCCACTCAGTCAATCACCGGCCGTCCAAGCCAATGTGGAAGCCTTGTTGACGGATATTTCCATGTTGACGGATATCTTGATGGACGTCATTGAACATGAAGATCCAAATGTACGAAAGCTGTACGACGAATTCCTGTCCTATGGAAAGGCGAGGTAAGAAGAATTGAATTGAAGTGAAGTGAAGTGAAATAATGGAGATATTGATGTCTTGGTGGGTATTTTGTATTTTGTAATGTTTGGATTCTGACGACGATTTCTCTCCTGTTGTCACCATGCATTTCAATGTTTGAACCATGCATATTTCACCACATTGCAACGCCATGACAATGAATTGAATTTGACAGAGCGGAAAATGTATCGGATGGCAAACCATTGGAAACCATGATTCAACGCGCCAAAACCTTGTCCAACAGCGAATGCCTTGGCCTTTGCCGTGCCGTTGCTACCTCTTTGAACTTGGTCAATGCTGCCGAAGTCCATCACCGCATACGTTCCATCAAGGCATACGAAAAGGCCATTGGCGAAAATGGATTGCCGGGACCATTGTATCATACCGAAGATTCCGCCAAGGGAACTATCCAAGCTATCTTAGATGAAAACAAAGATGTTAGCAAAGACGATATTTACAAGCAACTCTGCACCCAAAAGGTTGAATTGGTCTTGACCGCCCATCCTACCGAAGTCAATCGTCGATCCGTCTTGAGAAAGTACCGCAAGGTGGGCGAGGACTTGGCGTTTTTGGAACGACCAGACCTGTTGCCCTTTGAACGGTTGCAGGCTACCTACGATTTGCAGGGAGTCATTAGCAGTTTGTGGGGCATGGACGAAATTCGACGCCGAAAGCCAACGCCCCAAAACGAAGCGGCGGGTGGTTTGGCCATTTTGGAATCTGTACTGTGGGATGCCGTGCCCAGTTATTTGCGCAAGTTGGATGCTCAATGCATGTCGTCATTGGGAAAACACTTGCCTCTCAATGTGGTGCCCATCAAGTTTGCTTCCTGGATTGGGGGTGACCGTGATGGAAATCCCAATGTGACACCTCGGGTGACAAAGGAAGTTGTCTTGCAGCAAAGACACAAAGCTGCCAAACTATTGTCGCAAGACTTGAAGGACTTGGAATCCCAATTGGCCATTTCCGCTCGGTATTCCCCTGCCATGATTAAATTGGCAAATTCCGTATCGTACACGACACATCGACAAGAATTGTACCGTCGGGTTCTATCGCACCTCAACAAGCGACTCATCAAGACTATGCGGTCCTGTGAGGACGAACTGGAAGAGTACCTCCAACCAGAAGAAATGGCAACCTTGCGTACTCGGGCATCCACTTCATTGATTGACGAAATTGACGACTTGGAACCAATCTACAAGAAGGAAGATCTATTGGGACCGCTCACCACCATTCATGAATCCTTGGTGGAAACTGGATTTGAGCTAGTTGCTGACGGCCTTTTGGTCGATCTCATTCGTCGATTGCACATTTTTGGATTGACTCTTGTTCCTCTCGACATCCGTGAAGAATCGACCAAGCACACCATGGCTTTGGATGCTATCACTCGATGGTTGGGAATTGGTTCCTATGCTGAATGGGACGAAACGGCTCGATTGGCTTGGCTCTCTACGGAACTTTCCAGCAAGCGTCCCTTGTTCGCTGTCAGCAACTTGGAAAAGCTACGATTTCCCGACAGTGTCGTTCGCACCTTGGAAACCTTCAAGACAGCTTCCGAGTTGGAACCAGAAGCCCTGGGAGCCTACGTCATTAGTCAATGCCAAACTGCATCGGATGTATTGGCTGTCATGTTGCTCCAAAGGCAAATGGGTATGACCGCCAAGAATGGAAACATGATGCGTGTGGTTCCCCTATTCGAAACACTTGATGATTTGATCAATGCTCCCGAAAAACTTGATGACCTCTTCGGTGTTACCGCTTATGTCGGTGCCATTAAGGGAGAGCAAGAAGTCATGGTTGGATACAGTGATAGCGCCAAGGATGCCGGACGTATGGCTGCATGCTGGGCCCAATACAAGTCGCAAGAAGAAATGGTCAAGGTTGCCAGCAAGCACGGCATTGCGTTGACCTTCTTCCATGGAAAGGGTGGAACCGTTGGCCGCGGTGGCAACCCAGCCCTCTATCGTGCTGTTTTGTCACACCCTCCCAACACAATCAACGGACGGTTCCGCGTGACTGAACAAGGAGAAATGATCACTCAAAACTATGGAACAGTTCAAATCGCTGAGCATACATTGGACATTTACACTGCTGCTGTCATGCGCGAGTCTTTTACCAAGCACGTTGCTCCCAAGCAAAAGTGGAAAGATCAAATGGAACGCGTTTCGGAAGTCTCTTGTGCCGACTACCGTCATTTGGTCAGAGAAGAACCACGATTCGTCCCCTACTTCCGCCAAGCGACTCCCGAATTGGAATTGGGAAGCTTGAACATTGGAAGCCGACCAGCTAAGCGTAATCCTAAGGGCGGTATTGAGAGTTTACGAGCTATCCCATGGACATTTGCCTGGACCCAAACAAGAACACACCTGTCGGCATGGCTCGGGGTTGGCGCCGGTCTAACATCCAAGGTAAGCTTCATGGATTCTCGGACGATGTTTTGCAATAATTCATCGAGCTAATCTTCTTCCTTTTTGTCAAATAGGATCCCAACGACTTGAAGACTCTGCAAGAAATGTATGAAGAATGGCCATGGTTCCGTGAACTAACAGATCTGATTGCAATGATCATGTCGAAGACTGATTTCTCCATTTCCAAGAATTACGACGAGCAACTCGTTGACAAGGCTAGTGGTCTCATGGAACTTGGAGAGGAAGTCCGCATGAAATTGGTGGAAACCCGCCAAGCTGTTTTGGATATAACCAAATCCACAAACATGGCTGGACACCACGTTGCCCTGCAAAGAGCATCTTCGCTGATCCGAAGTCCATACGTGGACCCTCTGAATGTCATCCAAGCGGAGCTGTTGAAAAGGCTACGTGTGTACGAAAGCCAAGACGAATTGACTCCTGAAGAGAAAGAAGAGTTTGACACGCTCAAGAATGCATTGGTTGTATCGATCAATGGGATCGCACAGGGAATGCGAAACAGTGGATAAACTAATATGTTTTAAAAGTGATTACTGCTACAACTGGCTTGTTTGGTTCGTTAGGCTACGCCACATTCTAAAACTCGTGGAAATGCAAATCTAACAGTCTAATTCTCAATTATAGATAATAGTTTAGAGCAAGTCTTCAACACCCTCGTTGTTCCAGACCCATTTGTCATCACGCTTCTCGACGGATGAGCACCCCTTGCAAATACGCCAGACAGCTTCTGGGATTGGGGTTGGATCATAGAAATACAAATCTGGGTATGCCTCTTTGATGGCATCAGTGGCCTTCTGTGCGTTGTAGTGAGGGATCGAAGAATCGAAGTGGTGGGCAACATGGGTTGTTCCAATGTTGTGGTGCAAGAAGTTGATGGCTCCAAACGGGTCCAATTTGTCGTATGGGCGATCGATGGTGTGCAAGGCACCCTTGACAAAGTTGTGATCTTCATCAGAAAAGTGAGGAACATCGACATCTGTATGTTGAAGCCAAGTGTACAAGACCAACCATGCGTTGACAACAATCAGAGGTCCACCGTAAAGGGCCATCATTTGAGGAATGCCATTACATGCGGCCCACGCAATTGCAGATGCCGCAACAAATGCAACTCCGATGTCAGACTTGAAAACCTTTTCCTTCCACTTGCCAGGGAAGAGCTCCTTCTTTGGTTGGTTAGGTTCGGTCAATGGGTCAGGCCAGTAGTGGTTAGTAAGTCCGCGATCAGGCCCTCCAGTAGCACCAATCAACAAGTAAGCGGGCCATCCGACAACCAAATGCAAAAATCCTTGCAGCACTCCCCACATTCTGATTCCAGCAGTTCGTCCAAATGTCTCCATCAACTTGGATCGGATACCAATTGATCCCTCACTTGTCGAGCCCACAGCTTCTGGAACGTGCGTTTCTCCAAGTTCCATGTGATTTGTGTATCGGTGGTGGACGGCATGTGATCTTTGCCAAGAATAGTAAGGAACTAAAAACAAACTGTGAAGAACGTAGCCGACAGTGTCTTGGATCGTCTTATTTTTGGAAAAAGCACCGTGACCACATTCGTGTGCCAAAACCCAGAGTCCCATAGCAACAGTACCAGTGACGGCGGAATAGGCGGTCCAGATTGGCCAAGTAAAAACGTTTTCAGGTGGAAGAAATCCAAGCATGGCAACGCCAATAGCACTGCAAATAGCTGTGCCGACCACTGAAACACTCAAGTATCCCAATGAGGTCGCTGTGTCTATTTCGAAACAATCGTTTGGGATGACGGCACGCAATGCCATTTGCTCGGGGAAATCCTCAGGCTTTACTTGTAATACTTTTCCATTCAAACCCTATGTTTTGAGTTTGAAAGAAAGGAGAATGCTGTGAGAGAACTCGCACATTTTTTAAGCATCCTCGAAAGAGATCCTTGTAACCAGATATGAAGACCCCACGGACCTCATCTTTTATTTGCATTTAACTTACGGAGACTGCAATCCCAGTCATGTCAAACGACGACTCATCTTTCTTCTCCGGTTCTTCTGGCTGTGGCGGTGCGACTTTGTTGTTTCCGAATGGATTCAAAGCAATTGTGTTGAGACTTGTGATCTTTCTGGTAGGTGAGGCAGGTTGTTGGAAGGCGCGAACCGTGCAAGTTGACGCCAATACTGCAAAAGCAATTGAGAGCTTCATTTTCCTCTTCGTAGATTCGTTGGAAACCAATGGCAACCGATGAATGACGACGCCGAGTTGGAAAAATGTGAAGAAGATAAGGGGGAGAGAATACGTCAGCCCGAAATTCGGCAATCTGATTGGCATTTTCCACTTCAACAGGCGAAACGCCAGACAGACGAATTGAGAATGACGAATTGAGAGTGACAAAATCAAAATCATCCAACTTGGTCACAGTTAATTATGCTGCCTGTCCATGGCTCGTCTCATTTCTGGAAAATGGAAAAGTCGGACAAAATGAGGTCTTGCCTACACGCACAAGTGTACCTGGTATGATACCGGTAGAGTAACAGGGGTGTAAATTTAGAGTCCAACCTTTTTCAATATATCGTATACCCATTTCAGCTTCATCGTATTCTCATAGTACACTTCAGCTGCCATAACCTGCAAGCTAAACGCATAGGAAGGATACGGATGTATGACCTTTGCCAAGTTTGCAAATGGGATCTTGGCTGACATTGCAGTTGAAATCTCAGAAATCAATTCGCCACCGCATGGCGCCATCACTGTTGCTCCAAGAATAAGTCCATTCTTCTTGGAATATATGACTTTGATGAAGCCCTTCAATTCGTCGTCACAAATCGCCCTGTCAGCCGTTGCCAAATCCATCTTGGACACTGCCACCTTCTTTGCACCAAATTCTTCGATTGCTTCAGCTTCTGTGTATCCAATTGACGCTACTTCGGGACTTGTGAAGGTAGTGCCAGGAATGGATGTAAGAATGCCAGGATCCGTCAAAGGAAGCAAGATGTTGCGGGCAGCAATAGCACCTTGAAAGCCAGCATAGTGGGTGAATTGCCGATCCCCAGTGCAATCCCCAGCCGCATACACACCCTTGCACGCGGTCTGTAGTTTGTCATTGACATCTATTCCTCCTTTGGCATTGGTACCAATTCCAACATTTTCGAGTCCCAGCTTGCTCACATTTGGAGATCGACCGGTGGAGACTAGAATAATATCACCTTCTACTACTTCTCCACTTGAAAGCGTCGCTTTGTGGCCACCGGCACCACCATTCTTGGAAACCTCTGTCAATTTGCCTTTCAAGACAGTGATGCCTTCATCAACAAACACCTCCTGTAGGACTTCTCCAACTTCAGGTTCTTCTCTTGGCAGTAGGCCACTAGCGATAATTGTTACCTTCGACCCCAGCCGAGAAAACGCTTGGGCAAGCTCGCAGCCAATGGGACCTCCACCTACGACGGTCAAAGTCTTTGGCAACTCGCTCAATTCCCAAACACTTTCATAAGTCAGGAATTCCACGTCTTGAAGTCCAGGAATATTTGGAACAATCGGCGAAGCACCAGTACACAGAACAATTCCTTCTTTTGCATGAATTGTCGATTCCTCACCGTCTTCTCCCTGGACTGAAAGGGTTGTGGATGAAGTCAACGTTGCTCTGCCTTGGATTGTATCGACATTGAATTTCGCCAAAGCATCTGCCGAATCATCTTCTTCATAAATTTCTTGCATATTCTTTTGAAACTTTGCCTTGACTTCTTGGAAGTTTGCGCTTGATTTTTGAATCGCTTGCTTCCTTGCAATATGTGCTGCCTTGGCACTTGCCAAGAATGATTTGGATGGCACACATCCTGTCCAAGTACAATCACCACCAAGTTTGTTTGCCTCAACGATGACTGCAGTATTTCCGAGCGTTCTAAGGTTTCAAAAGGATAAGATGTTAGAGCTTCAGTTGTTCGAACCAAGAAGAAAGGAGAAAAAGATGGCTCACCCTCCTGCGAGTTTGGCTGCAGTAAGACCTGCAGATCCTCCCCCAACGACAACCAAATCATAAATCTTGGCACCTGCCGGCGGCGCAAGAGCTCGGCTACTAGAGATCATACATCCCATTACCAAGACCACGATAGAAATGAGCTGATTCTGTGCAATTCCCATCTTGGAGTCAGTATGATGGATTCTTCATCATCGTCTCATCCTCAAATACCATTCGATCGATTGATTCGGACATTCGGCGATCTTCATTTCATTCAGCAAAGCGTTTTTGTATTTGAATACTTGGATTGATCTCGATCGATATTGAGGCAGTGGGAATCCCCGGATTTCTCCCCTAGTTGCGAGATTTTCCCACAGCTCAATTTTTCCCACAACTCAAATTTGCTTCCCACAACTACTAGTTGTGGGAATTCCCTCTGCCTCATATGAGGCAAACACCCTGCCTCATATGAGGCAAACACACTGCCTCATACGAGGCAAACGCGCGGTAGAATAGACAACTAGTTGTGGCAATTTCCTGCAACTAGAGTAGTTGTAGGAATTTCCCACAACTATTTTTTCCGATTCCTACATTGTTGTGGCAATTTTTGGCAAAAACTGTTCCCACAACTAAAGTACCTGGTAGTTGTGGGAAGTCGCGTTAAATATCGCGGGGATGAAATAAATTGAAAAGGGGCAATTCCCACTGCCTCATTATGCTGTAGTACTACTGTAAGGTTATTTTCTTAAAATGACGACGAAAATATACGGACCTACCACTCACAACTGCTCAGCGTTCGTTCAAGTTCTTGCATTTTATCATACGGTATGTTAAAAATATACTGGTGTGGTCCTGCAGCCAACAAAATTTTTCAGACCACTGCTATGTGTGCCTTCATCGATCGTTCTATTAGCCCTTTTCACACGACGTTTCCCAGTCGACGGTCGTTTTGAACAGAAGATTTTCCGTGTCAGCTCATGACGACCCATACTGACTCATACTGACGCACTTTGGGTACCTTTGTGGCACAAGGATATATATATCAAAATCAAGTTTTTCCATTACATTTAGCACCCTTGAAGCAACACATGTGCCTATAAGGAGATGAGCCACTCGAATTTTCATCTCCGATTGACATAATGTAGAAGTCACCGTGCGGACAAACCACCTATTTAATTAAATACAGTTCAAAATCCACTTACCGGTACTGCGGTGAGGCTGTTCGAAAAGTCCGGTTCCGATCAATGACTGCGGAGCATCTTAAAAACTGAGTGTGTCGTGAATGCAGCACTGATTCGACCCAATCCGTGATCATGGTTTTCTCTCACAATTTTACAGACTGAAATTCGAAACACATTAATTTGACAATATGGTAGCTCGTACACAAAAACCACAACATCACCAACTTTTCAACTCCTCTTTCGACAAGATCGAATTTGATTTCGATGACCTCAAGTCTCCTACACCACAAAAGGCTACGAAGAAGAGTGTCCGATTCGAAAGGCATGATCATGTCTATGAGATCCCCCACATTGATGATCTGAGCGATGAAGAGATCGATGATGTCTGGATGCATCCTGACGACTTCAAGGCTATCCGAAGAGAGTGCCAAGCTATCATACTCATCATTGAACACGATAGCGATCTCATCGAAGGCGCTGAGCTTCGAGGACTCGAACATCACACATCCAAACAAAAGAAGCAAGCCCAAGCAATCCAAAAGCTCCTCTACGACACTGTTGAGAGACTTCAAACGTACGGCGACCAATCCTCAACCGATGTATCTGATATGTTGGCATGTATGTGCCAAAAGATCTCAAAGAGACCTGAAGCATTTGCGAGACAAACTGCAGCTGAAGACGAAGAGGAAGCCAAGAAGGTGTGAATCGTGTTACACCAGTGAAAAGCATGCAACAAGCGATTTTTCCGGCCATCAAGCTGAAGGAGGAAACAACCGCAGGCTATGCCCTGGAAATGTCCAGTTCAGATTTGATTATCTCCTTCGAACATCAAGGAAACCCCCTCCCCGCGGCCTCACTACATACAGCCACGTACTGTACATACAACGATGTTACTTGGCATCTACACAAATAGCGCAGACTTTAAAATATCCCATTGAACTATGATAAACACTGACAATCAGAAAGAATCTCTTATTTCAACGTAGAAAATAATTCTTGTGGCAATACTGTACCGGTAGGCACTAGTAACAAGTATCACTTGAGCGAAGTTTCGTACGCATACTTTTTATATTCAACTTCATTGTCGAGCTGAAAGTAAAAGACGTACTAAAATTCGCACCCGTTAAACACTCAACATCCAGCGACACCGGATTAATTTGTTGCTTCGCATCCAGAATGACTCCGTGGGGGTCACTTCTGCTGCGTCACACAATTATTGCCGAACGAAATTTCAATACCACCTCCCAACAGCAAAATCGACATGGTAGCTCGATGTAAGGAAGGACCAATCAACACCTATACAACAGCAAAAATTGAGCTTGAATCCGACAGTAAACCCCAACTAGTAACATTAGAGAATATGCCAAGACGGGTACAGTTCTCGGGAGAGCATAAGATTCATGAAATCCCTCACATTGACGACTTAAGTGATGAGGAGATCGAGCAAGTCTGGATGAGTCCCGATGACTTCAAGGACATTCGAAGAGAGTGCCAAAAAATCATTATGATTATTGAACATGATAGCAGCCTTTTAGAAGGTATGGGGATAGAGCTGCGGGGATTAGAGCATCACATGGTGAAGCAAAGAAAGCATATTGAGGGAATCCAAGAGTTGCTGTACGACACAGTCGACCGACTCATGTGCTTCCACGACGAGACATCAATGGACGTGGGAGACATGTTGGCAGAGATGTGCCAAAAAATATCATCAAGGTCTGAAGCGCTGGCACGGCAGATAGGAATACAAGATGAGGAGATCGCTAAAAAATTGTGAGTCACAGTTTGATGATGGACTACTTTTATTGAATTGGATTGCATCGAACGAGCGTAACAAGCTAGAGTCTCACAGGGAGGAACACATCAAGGTACACATTACGATCTCTCGACCTGAGGGACTATCAGCGTCTCATGTTTGGGTCACTTGGTCACATCATTTGCTATTAAACTGCAACAACGGTCGTTGTTATTGTTGTTGTGGTCGTCTTGATTGAAGGGTGGAATACTGCACCCATATCAACCTATCTCAGGGCGGAGAAATTTGCGCCAGAGGAACTAACGAGGACATTCAAGAAGACAGATGATGTTTGGGTTGGAAGTCACAGTTCAAGTTTACCTAAAACTTGGTTTTTCAGTAACTCTCAAACATCAACAACTTCCCGAAAGATTTGTCTACTTGTCTCGCCAATAGTTATCACTTTTAAATTGCAGTTTACACAGCTCAGTGAGGATTAATGAGGATTAATGAGGATTATTAATGATGGCCACAAGACTAGTCATATGGCATACAATCGGACGAAACTTCATAGTGGTTAAGTCTTCATGCTTCAAGCTCCAAGCTCGTCGAGATGGTCCCTCAGCCGCCTGTCTTTTCGGTGCAGGATGTCGAACAATTCGGGGAATCTACAGTATTAATACTTTCTCCGACATATCGTGCGGGACTGTGCAATTTCAAATCAATGCTGTTTCCACTCGTGTGATGTTCGTCAGTGGAAAATGCTTCGCTCTCACAATTTCAAGTCTTTCCATTTTATAAAACAGAAACAGACGCTAAAAAATCATGGTGGCAAGATCGCAACAAGAGCTTTTCAACTCCTCCTTCACAAAGATCGAATTTGAAGGTGACCTGAAACAGTCAGGAGCAGAACCACCAACAGTTTTCGAGAGTGTTTGCTTTACAAAAAAATTTAAGAGTGTTTGCTTTGCCAAGCATGATGAAGTGTTTGAAATCCCTCATATGAACGACTTGAGTGATGAAGAGATCGACGCTGTCTGGATGAGCGACACAGACTTCAAGTCCATTCGCAAGGAATGCCGCAAGGTCATCTTGGCGATCGAACGAGGATGCTTCAAAAGTCTAGCCGGTGTTGAATTGCGAGGACTTGAACACCACCTATTTAGTCAACGAAAGCAAAAGGATGCCATACGAGAAATTCTATATAGCACCGTCGAGAAGTTACAATCCTTCCAAGACGAAACAAAAACGGATGTATCTGACATGATGGCAGAGATGTGCCAGAAGGTTTCCACGCGATCCGGAATGATGGCTCAACAAATGGCCCTGGGAGACGAAGTAGAAACGAAATTATGAATCATGGCAAAATGACAGGTCAATCAGACGACGAACAACACTCGTTCCAGTCTAATCAATCAGCGATCCGATGTAGATTTGAGATAGCAAAGAGACTCCTCGTGTCGGAGAAAGGAAGGAAAGCAGTGATCACGCCCTGTAACATGGGTAAAATGGAGATTTAAAAATCTCATTGTAGTGGCATGCGGTCTCTTGGGTCAATCTTGTGACGCCAGACCTTCTAAAAGCCGCCTTACGTTGAATGGGAACATTATCTTCCACACGCAGTGCCTTCTTGGCTGTGCTCCTGTAATCATGCTGATGACGATGAATCAAGAAATAAGCGCCAGCAATTAGCAAGAAGACTTCGACTAGAACCTCTAATATTCCACACAAACACTGTATCTAAAGTAGTTGCACAGTTAGTGAGTAAATAGTGTTACTTTTGCATCCAAGAGCACCTCTTGCCTGGTACGGTGCAAAACTCAGGCAGAGTGAGCAACCGACCAAGTGAGGGAGCATTTTGCCGGGTGGCGAGTCATCTCACAGATAACGTCTTTCGGAAACATTTATGCCCAAAATACCTCTGGTAACAAATTGCCAGTTAAAAAATTCAATCTGAAAATGCCGTTGAAGTGAAAAATGAAGATGAAATAATCAATCCTGAAGCGGTGGAATTCCAAAGAGCCACAACAAAACAGGTTTCTTCCATGGACCGATGACAGCAGATCTCTCTGCGTCCATCAAAATGAGTGACGAAGCATCACTAGCGTCGTCCTATTACGAGGTTATTGACAATCTTTCTGTCATATGGGAAGAGACTTCGCAAGATTTGCATTCAATTGTCACCAATCCAAAACATTACCGACGGCTGAGTAGTGGCCCGATTCCGTACCCGCCATCATCTCCACGTCTTTCACCAAGAAGTTTAGATGGAAAATCCCGAGTCTCAATTCCTCATCCACCGTCATCGCCACTTCTTTCGCCAAGGAGTCTAGATGGAACACCGCGAGTAAGGAATAGCAGAAAGTCGCCGTTGTTGAGAAATAATGTATTATCGCTGGGGCCAGCATCAATTGCAGAAGCAGACGAAAGGGAAGAACGCAATAATGATACGGAAAATCCAGGGCGTCCTTCGATTTTTGTCACATCGTTACGCACTGGCGAGCTCGTCGCCTTGCCACTTCAAGATGACGAGTTTACATTTGAGAGTTGCACCACTGGATCGGATATGCAAACGGTAGAATCCATTGAGGAGTATTTTTCTGATGAAGAAGACCAAGACAAACTGCCATCACGGCGGAATAGAAAAGAAGAGTCAACTGAAGATGAAATGATTTTTGAAATCGTTGATGAACTGAAGGAAGAGCTTATGGTGATCAAGCATGCCCGGGATGAAGCGATGAAGGCACTGTATTTGCACGACTCTCCGCTGGCCAAAACGCAAAGAAAAGCAGCTTCTAAATCAGAAAAATTTCTGTCCAGACTAAGTACAATCCCGCAAGTACCTACTTTTGGGAACACCGGCGAGATAACCGACTCTTCTTCACTACCGGATGTTTTACCCAGAGTCAAGAAAGCTGTGTGGAAGGACAAGTCCGCCACTTTTGAAAATCCCAGAGAGACTAATGATCCCTTGCCAGCAGGGGTTTCAGCCACTTGTGACTCGAGTTTACCTGAAACTGACGCGAAGGATGACTCTCTAACCACTAGAAGCGCAGAACCAGCTAGCTTTAATACATCGCTGCCAGACCCTCCGTTTACAATGCAAGAGAGCACACAACAAGGCGACACAACACAGATCTCTCAGTTTGTAACTAACGGTAGTGTGAAGCAAGTCAACGAGTCGTCGGCACCAACCCAGTCGAGCACGGCAACATCAGAGCCACCGTCAAGCAACATCGACGAGAATAAGGGTCCCTCGGAAACCTCAGCTTTGTCATCACTAGAGGAAACCTCCACGAGGGAAGCGATTGAAGCAGAATCGTTTGATTTGAATTACACTAATTCAATTGACACTACATTGCTGGAAGATTTTTGGTATGCTCCATTTGACGCACCATCCACTTTGGATTCCACAACGACACAACCCACAGCGACGGCGAACGTATCGACTGCAGAAACAACAGACGAAAGTGAAAACAATTCACCAACAGATGTGTCGCTCACAGTAGACCCAGCTGTGTCTGCACCTGACCGACCAATAGACGCTTTGAAGACCAATGCTCAAGAAGAAACTGAGCTGCCCAGTCGCGAAGAGAAATCCTCCAAAGTGAACCAAATAACTCCGGCACCGCACTTTGCGTTGATGCAGAAATGGTTTTTATCGAATCTAAAGCCATCGTACTTTGATCAGGTGCAACGCCAGGCGTTCCGCATAAATATAGATGGCCTGGGTGGGCAAAGACGGAGGGTCCAATACAACACTTCTCGTTTGCTCCTGAAGAGGCGCCTACGAAAGCACTTCAAGCCACAAGGGAGAAATGTGGTTGCTCAAAAGCGTTACGAGAAGCCCCACGAGCTTCAAAGTGAACGGTCGAATGACAGTGACAACGAATCGATTGAAATTTTCTTTGCGAATCCACAGGAGGATGACTGTGACAGTGTACAAGGTAGGCGTCGTCCCTTGCGCCGATCCAGCAGACGGAAATCGGAAGGTGATCTCCGCAATATGGTGCGCGAAGGAAAACGGGCGGAACTTCGCTCCAAAATTCATGGCATTGAAGACAGACTGGAGCGCATTCGCATGAACTTGAGTAGTAGCTTTTCATCACTTATATCAATCGAAAATGACGAGGGTGAAGAAGATTCTGATTCTGATGCTGATGTTGCCGTCGAGGACAACCAGGGGCTGACCAAGGGATGGTCGTCGTCACGGTCGTTCAGCGAGGGTATGCTGTCACCAGAGCCGTCACCAAGGGAAAGAAAGGGATCGAAGGGAAGACTAGAGCGAATCAGGGGGAAGAAAAAGATGAATCTAGAGAAACTGCAGCATGCTTTGGATTCAGCAATGGAGGCAGTTTCAGCAGAGATAGATTCATAAAACTAGAAAGCGAAAGTCTCTCTCACACACGTCTCTACAAAGCGCTAACGGTATCAATATTTCAAGCACTATTTCAATGCTTTAACTTCAGGTGAATAGTCTTCTTTGCGATGCGAACTCTGTGGTGATATTTCAACCAAAACCATTGGAAATTAGCGTAGCTCTGTGGATGTCTTCTATGAAGCATACAGTAGTAGGCTTCAACGATGGAGAAAAATTGAGTACTCAACCATAGTATACTCTAGATAATAAATGGAAGTTTTCAGTTTTAAATAATAAAGGAAGCTCCTTAGTTGCTGAGGCCTCCACGATGAGGCATCAGCAACAGAAGTCGAGTTTCTTAGGCTGCAGTGAGTTGCTACCATTTGATTTCTAGGTGTATCTAAAGCCCTCTTATATCTTCACGCCGACCATACCAGACGACATGTGTTCATGGATTTTCTGGGCATCTTTTGCGTCCCTGAGACCTTGGACACGAGCAGTCTTGACCGAAGGGGCCGAGCAAATCTTGCAGATTTCGGCCAAGGCATCATCGAGACCTTCCTCCATTTCCTTGTCCATGGCTTGTGCAAGAGCATCATACATGACGTCACGATACGCATTCTTCTTCGCTCGAGCTTCAGCAGTGTGATTCAGTAATCCCCGCGTGCAAAAGGGGGCTTCATTGGGATGCTTCAGTTTCACTTTATCCAAGAATTTGATTCTTTGAGCACAGTCTTTGCGTAATGCTTTGTAATCTGCTTTGCTGAACCACATTTCTGCGATCTGTTCTGCAGTCAGCGAACTGTGATGGGGGATCTTGCGAATCCTGGCTTTGTCACTGAACTTGACGCGTCTCGTCTGTTTCTCGGGACGTGCTGTCTGTGCTTGACAGTGGTTCGAGCTGTCGAGGTTTGTGGCCACTGTCGAGGTGGAGGCAGAGCATGATGAATCCGACGATACGCTTTCGTCAGCTTCAATGCTTCTTTTGGAATCACCACCACTACTACTAGTCAAGCCAGGAACAAGTGCTCTGTCTAGAGCTGAAATGCTGCCCTGAGAGCTTTCATCGGACAGGTCAAGAATAGCCATGATCTTCACTTTTGTTGCTTTTTCTATAAACTCGAGCTACAACTTCTGTGTGCCTATGTCTGTGGCAAAACTTTCGTTGTTTGGATCAGCGTTTGGTTCTCAAAACTTATTTCTGTTGTTTTTGTGGCGCTCGTGGAATTCTTACTTTCCGGTACTGCATCGGACTTTTTGGTACTTCCCTCCTCGACCCAGAGTCATCGTGATTACATATGAAACCTGTCGGTCTCGACTGACATTTAGAATTTTAGAAATCAGTATTTCTCCGAAGCAATGACTCAAAAGTTGAAAGTGTCCCTTTTTACCACGCGCGAGGATGCCGTCAGTCGGTGCGCATGATAGATCGTTGGACCCGCCGCAATTTGAAATTGATCCGGGTTCTTCCTAGCCTATGACAGTTCAAGTCTGCGATCGATCGTCAATCGGAGCAAGATCAGAGCAAGCCATCAATATGATATTTTGCGAAGATACACCATCGTCGACATCAAGGCCATGTGCAAGAAATCACGAGACAAGACTACAGGGTCAATTGGATTACCACAAGTAATCCTTCCATTTTTGGCTGGTTTGACTCATCTCCATGTGGTATATTTTGCCGCTTTCAAGACAGTCCTTCCGGTGCTTTTGGGAGACGTCTCTAGAAAGCAGACGGAAGATTTTCAATCCGAGTTGTATTATCTGGATCGAGCTGTCTTTATTGCCTACTTTGTTGATCTGTTTTGTTGCTATTTCAAGGCTCTTCCATTCTCGAGATGCAACAGATCCAAGGATATCATTGAACATCACCTTCCAACCTTGTTGTTAGCCCTTCCGCTCGCAGTTCCAACTTGGGCAAAAATGGACTCGATTGAGTCATCTCTTCCTATTCTAAGCTTGGGAGAGGATAGCGAAATCAGGGACGAGTTCATCAAGGGCTGTATGATGGCCTCTGGCTTTGCCTACATCAGCTCCATGAATGAGGTATTCATGTGCTTTCAACGAGTCGAGATGAGTCTTCAAAAGGCAGCGACATTTGCGGATATTCCTCAAATGAAACACCATTTCTTTACCAGTCGACTGATCATAGGAATGGAGCTGTGCTATAAATTGGCATTTTTCTGGGGACTGTCTATTCTGGCGTGCTATGGATGCGTGAAGCTTCCATATGCCGTCTACCAAATGCACATGTCCAATGATGAGTTGGCGCTTTGGCAAGTTCTTTTCAAAATGATCATCAGTCCAATTGTATTGAGAGCATTGCTATTTTTGACATTTTCGGTTGTAATGTACCCGTCCATGGGTAAGCGGTGTCTTCGAAAAGTCAAGCAATTCTTTGCCGAAGGAAAAGAGAAGACTGCCTGATCATCTTCTACCAGTAACATGTTGTCCGGCGCGCTCAACCCGAATTTACCAACGGTCCCGCAGACAATCCAAAAGATTTCTTATCTGACCTCGGTTGCAGTAAAACAAAGATATAGGACCATATCAAGACCACATGTGCGAGAAATCACGAGACAGGACTATAGGATCAATTGGATTGCCACAAGTGATTCTTCCATTCTTGGCTGGTTTGGCTCATCTTCATGTGGTATATTTTGCCGCTCTCAAGACACTCCTTCCAGTCGTTTTAGGAGACGTCTCTAGAAAACAGACGGAAGATTTTCAATCCGAGTTGTATTATCTGGATCGAGCTGTTTTTATTGCCTACATTGTTGATCTGTTTTGTTGCTATTTCAAGGCTCTTCCATTCTCAAGATGTAACCGATCCAAGGATATCATCGAACATCATCTTCCAACATTGTTGTTGGCCCTCCCGCTCACGGTTCCAACTTGGGCACAAATGGACGCTATTGAATCATCTCTCCCCATTCTAAGCTTGGGAGAGGATAGCGAAATCAGGGACGAGTTCATCAAGGGCTGTATGATGGCCTCTGGCTTTGCCTACATTAGCTCCATGAATGAGGTATTCATGTGCTTTCAACGAGTCGAGATGAGTCTTCAAAAGGCAGAGACATTTGCGGACATTCCTCAAATGAAATATCATGTTTTTACCAGTCGACTGATCATAGGAATGGAGTTGTGCTATAAATTGGCATTTTTTTGGGGACTATCTATACTGGGGTGCTGGGGATGTGTTACGTTTCCATATGCCGTCTACCAAATGCACATGTCTAATGATGAGTTGGCGCTTTGGCAAGTTCTTTTCAAAATGATTACCAGTCCAATCGTGTTAACAGGATTGCTATTCTTGATATTTTCAGTTTTAATGTATCCGTCCATGGGAAAGCGTTGTGTTCGAAAACTCAAACAATTCTTAGCCGAAGGAAAAGTCAAGACAGCCTAATCATTCTTCTACATGTAGTGGGATGACAGTGCAATATACTCTACCCAGTGGATATTGTTTATCTCCGACGCTGAACATCAGCAAAATTCAGAGATCTCAGTGGTTGCCAATCCATGGTATTGGGCAGCGACGAGGGATTCGACACTGGTCAAGAAGAGAAGCAATGTCTGTCTTCGTATTGCCTTTCCAAAGGGGGATATCCTTCTAAAGAGAATTTCGGTGTATCATATTACATTCCCCGAACAGAACCTCTTCTATACTTTATATTACAAAAGTTCATGCTACTACTCTATATCTAGATTCTTTCCTTCAGTCTATCGACCGCACAAAAAGCTTCAGAACTTACTGTCAGCAAAGAATGCACGAGAAGGCTTGTACTCTTTCCCTCGCTTCTTTCGGTTACTATGGATGATGGACTGCTGCGAACGTCTTTTCTTGCAATCAATGCTTCCCAAGAGGCTATGCTTGTCCAGCAGACCAGAGTTGCGGTTCAAATCAGTGTTGCTGATATTGCTCGGAGAAAGGAATCCCATGACAGAGCCATGACTACTAGAAGATTGCATCGCGCTAGAAAAAACTCCTTGATCCACGTCCCGATTCGTGCTCACCACAGCAGCGGCAGACTGGTTGATAATTTGTGAGTTCTGGTCCAATAGCAACGATGGTGACAGATGATTGGTGAATTCAGCCGAGGTGGTAGGTGGAGTATTTCGACTATACAAGAATGCAATGGAATCATTGTCATTCTGATGATGATGATGATTCTTGGTACCAGTATTGGCATCGACTGGAATTGGAGAAGCAGAAATACTGCTGGGCGGACAATTTTTCACCAGTGGATCGAAAAAATCATATTGCAGGGCATTGGATGCCGTAGGTCTGCCATTTGGATTGATTCGCAAGCAGTGTTCCATCAATGCCAAGGCTCTCTCACAGGCAGATGGGACTTTTACTCGCAATTTGGATCGGCATGTACTCTCGACAGAATGGTGTCGAACTTGTACCTCATTCTCCGTGGGGTTCCTGCCTCCTTGGTGACTGTCATTTTGATGGTGAAGATGATGATGGTCCGCCACCACTTCCAGTCCCATTTTTGCGGCCAACCGCTTGCCTTCTGGCCAATGTTCATGCCAGTGCAACGGTCCACCCCAAAGCTCGCAGATGAGAGCTAGTTGTGGTATCTCTCCACTTCCGGGAAAGAGCGGGTCTAGTGTGTATAGTTCGGCCATGACACAGCCCAGCGCAAAGAGATCGACGGCGGTGGAATATTGCGGCGCGCAAAGGATTATTTCGGGAGCCCGGTACCATCGAGTCGACACGTAGCTAGTCATTTTGGATGGTTGGTGAAGTGCATTGTGCATTGTATGAGTTGGCGCCATTGGATTACAGTGGTGATGTTGGGGTTGGGATGGACTGTTATGCCTAGTTCCGTGCCGCTGCTGGTGGCATTCTTGGCTTGCATGACTTCTTTGTAGTATTTGACTTTTCTGCACTGTCATTCTTGATAGAGAGAAATCCGTCACCTTGCATTCTTTCCCCCGCATCAAAATATTCTCTGGCTTTAAATCACGATGCATATATCCCTTGGCATGGATATGTTCCAATCCTCGAAGAACTTGCCGAAGAATTGATTGAATAGAGGAGGGACCAATGTGCGTTCTAGCACTATTGCTGTCTCCACTGGAAGAAGTTCGTAACTGCTGTCGAAACGATTGAATATAATCGTTGAGAGTACCATCGGGCATGAGTTCCATGGAAAAGTATAGGGTCCCATCGTTCTCCCGGATAATATCATACATCTGGCATAGATACTTGCAGTCTCTTGATAAGACGAGGTTGGCACGACATTCGCGCAAGGTTCGAACAGCATTCCAATCGCCAAATGTTTGATTCAATTTCTTGATTGCAACAGCCTGGCGATAGTAGTGCGAGTGTAATGGTCAGAAGTAGTTTTATAAATATGTTGGAAACAAAACAAACAAAAAGTCGAATGGAAGAAAGAAGAGGTTATTAGAAGAATAAAAAGGTTCCATAACAACGCAAGCAATGTCATTTGTCGCTTTGGCGTTTGGTTTTTGTTCTCAAGTTTGTTACCGTACCTTTCCATCCTTCTTTCGGGTGGCTCGAAAGACGGATCCAAACGATCCTTTGCCAATCTCTTCATGCACAATGTAATTCTGCATGATGGCAGCAGGTTATTGTACTGTATGTGTGCACGATATGTTTTTTTGTGTTCTTGGATTCATTCATTTTGATCGAGTTGGCGGCGGGCGACATCGAAAAAAGGCGGTATATTTTAATACGACGGGTTGAACACACAATACCGGGTGTGGCAAACAAATCGCCCGCCAACAAATTTTGGAAGCGATTTGGATGCCTATTATAATATTGTAGCCTGCTGAGAAAGAGATGGTAATGAGTTATATTATATGGTGTATTCGAAAACTAGAACTCAAATTGCAAAACAATGCAGTCCATGCGGATGGAATTGGTGCATGTAAGATATTGAAATGACATCAATTCGACAGCATGGATGCCATGATATTCTTAGCAGTAACAAGTCTATTGTCAAAAGTCTTGACCACAATTCCACACACTCCACACACCAAGTTTGTGATGGACATTACCACCAATTCATACATTTGCTATCAGATTGATGACTATCAGATGATTCATTCACTGTTGTTGGAACATCTCACAGAGTGTTGATGGATCTGTTTCACTCAGCACACGATATTGACTCTCTTTTGCCCTTTCTTGTTGTGCCTTTGTATTGTAACCCCAACTGGCCAAAAAGGGTGTTGTCTTTTGCTTGATTGGATCGTATGCCATGATCTTATCCAAAGTCTTTAGGTTGTCTTCTATCATCATGGCTCGATCCGCGTTTCGTTCTTCTAGTAGAGAGGCCAAGACTTTGTGTTTTGGTCCCGATCCCAATCCAAAAATATGATCTGTTTCTATTTTGCTGGTATCGGATGACGATTCACCACCATCATCCTTATACAAATCCTCTTTTTCCAACAAACGTTGAGCATACTCTTTGGCCTTGGTGGTGATAATGTAAAGGTTTTCATTTCCGTGTTGTTTCAAAAAGGTTCTGACGGCAGTGCAGGCACCATGGTAAAAATCGTGAGCGTCCAACCAATCCTGGGCATCGTTTTGAGCAATCCATCCATTGCGAGCTTGCGCTAAGGCATTCTTGCAAGTTTCCTGGTCGAGTTTTAAAGAAGTCATCATCCTTGGTCGGTACGTGGATTGAAAGTGATCCAAGATTTCATCATTGGTTGGATTGCCTTCGGCAGGATCCGCCAGTAGTTTGATAATCAAGGCAGCCTCCCATCCCGTTTCAAGGCAAGGTCGAGCTTGACAAAAACGTTCAATGATTGTCTTGAGTTTATTGGCGTCGTTATTATTGTCATCGTGTTCCTCAATCTCTTGGATCCAACTGGCATTCGGAAACAAAATCTTGGCAGCTTTCCAACCACTTTGACCCGTTTCCGAGGCACTATCGACTAGAACTCCATCAAAGTCCAATGCGTATATGGTGGTGGTGGTAGTACTTGTTGTAGTTTCGGAAGAAGTCATATTCAATATTGCACACACAAAGAGGCGGTGAGGATTGAGTATGAATCATATTTGCGGTTCGGTTCAAAATATCCAAAATTTTCAGGCGACTCAGTGGACTATAAACTCACTCCAACCATCATAATACGATAATATTATTGCATACTTTCGTTGTCACTTCCAACTGTCATATCCCCCCATAATATTTGGGAAGCCATAGCATGGCCCTCAGACAGTTCACGTCTGCCACGGTGCTAATCTTGAGTATTTTTATCCAGTTGTATTGCACCACGACGACGATTTATGCTTTCTCGACTTCTAGTTCTAGCTTTCTTCGTCATCACCATCATCATCATCATTGTCACATTGGGATTGGCTTTCGACGAAACCAAATACCATGTCGAAGACAAAGAGAATACAAAAGGTTGAAGAAACTGAATCTTTCTCAGTCTGTTGATATCGATAACGATGATCATAGCAACGTGGAAAAGAAGAATGATAAGAAGACACTAGCCTCGAACCTCCTTGCAAAATTTTCGCTACTGGCCCCCGTGTGGACATCAATGGCAGCCATCTACGCCATTACAAATCCTTCCTCTGCCAAAGTATTGGGATCTCCCAACGTGATGCAAAATGCCTTGCTCACGCTTATGTTTGCCATGGGAATGGCCATTCTGCCAAAGGACGTGTCGAGGGCGATTTCCAATCCTCGGATTCTAATGACGAATGCTATCTTGTGCTTTGGAGTGGTTCCGCTATTGGCAGTGGGTCTCTCTCAAGTCCTTCGGTTGGTAGCAGTGGCAACCAATACTGGTTCTTCTCTGCTCTTCTCTCCCAGTACTCAAGTTGGATTGCTGCTCTTGGCATCGGTGAGCGGTGGACAAGCCTCCAATCTGTTCACCTTGATTGCCGGAGGAGATGTGGCGCTGTCCGTGATCTGTACTCTCTCCACCACTCTATTGGGGGTCTTGGCGACACCCTTGTTGGCCAAAGTCCTAGTAGGCCAAACGGTCGACGTCAACTTGATGGGAGTTGTAAAATCCGTCGCATCCCTCGTGTTGGTTCCACTAGTGGCAGGATTGGGTCTGGGGCACTGGTGCATACCCACTCGCGTGCATCAACGATTTATTGTCCCATGTATGCCAGTCGTTGGAATTTTTGCTACCTTGATATTGGTGGCGGGGGGAGCTTCAAGTTTGTCATGGAAGACGACGAATCCATCGTTAATCATTGCCACGGCACTTCCCTCTACCCTACTATGCCTTGTGAGCGGCGTCGTTGCCTTGCAATGGATCAATTTTCAGAATCGTCGAGGCAAGTCACAAAGTAATAAGAAGAATAAGAAGAATAATGATGATGATGATCCAAGAATCACGGAAGCTGCCAAACGGGCCTTGGTGGTAGAAACCTTGTCCAAGTCTCCCACCTTGGCCTACTTTTTGGCTTCCAGACATTTTGGAACGGAAGCGGCGGCGGTCCCAGCGGCTGCCATGGTGACCTTGGCAGTGCTCGGAGCTTTGATAGCGTCGCTTTGGTCGGCACTATCGCCGCCGCCATTTGTTGCGGATGATGACACGATGCTGGTGGAAGGATGATGAAGGTATTCATTTGAACTATATTAGTGTGCTCCAAACACACGATTTCGCGACAAGCCAATTGCTTTGTAGAAAAAGCTGATGGTAAGCAGCTCAAAAAATGGTCAAGGCAACAAGGGATAGTCGCCTCGACAGGTGCTAAGGCTGTCTTGATCAGTATCAAGTACAGTACTGTTCAGGAGAATGATTCGAGCCACAGTTAACGATTCAATTCATTCCATTTTCAAACGAAAATGATACTAAACGACAAAGCAGTCCGATGTAAAAATTAGAATGAATCGCCTTTATCTTAAAAGAACCGCTGCAAAGCTGGCGTAGCAGACTTTGGTTTACTTTCCCCGGAACTTTGTCTTGCTTCCTCTTTCGCTTTCTTTTCTACCTCCTCCTTTTGTTCACGTTGCTTAACAATTTGATGATCGATAATGTTCTGTGACTTTCTTCTGAGTTTGGTTTGAATCTTACTTCGTCCACGTTTCTTTGACTTTTGCTTCTTCTTACGGGCATCATTCTTGGCATTGGCAGTTGCTTCAAGACTTTCCAGACGTTGCTGGCGGATTTCAGGCGAACTATCTTCAACACCCCCAATATCGGCAGGATCCATCGTGATCATGTTGGGTTGAAGCTTGTCCAACAAGGCTCGAACCTCGGCTTCTCGTCGTTGTTTCTTATCTTGATTTGGATCCAAGTTGGCTTCCGTCGTATCCAAGTTTGGTTCTCCAGATCCTGGAATCACAATCGAACTAACACCCTTACCATGTCCCAAGCCACAGACGTCTTCAAACGGACGGAATCGCAATGTCTCAACAGCACCACATCCATGTACAGAATGGTGCATATAAGGATCCTTGACTTTGCGGAGAAGGGCCTCGGGAGACCAAAAGGTGGCATGGGTCGCATGACCAATTCCCATAACGTTGCGTTGGGAAAGGTCCAAAGATTGGGGAACTCCAGCGGGAGTAAAGTAGGAGTGTGTCTTTCGGAACTTACGAATGTCCCAAATGTGCACTTGTCGATCCGCTCCACCTGTGACCATGTAGTTCCCTGAAAGATCAATGGCCATGGATGTCACAGCAGCACCCTTGTGGCAGTGCAGTTTGGCCAAGAATTGCGAGGAGGCTGGAGACCACAACGAGACGGTACCATTCGCATGTCCCAAGTGCATGACTGCATTGCTTGGATTTTGTCGTAAGACATTGTGACCAGCCAACTTGGTATTGTGAGTGGACACCAACTGACCCGTGGATGTATCCAGATACTTGAGATGCCCACTTCGACCAACACAGGTCAACAGCCAATGGTACGGAAGAAAATCAATCGCAAAAGGGTCATTCATATCGTTTAGTTTGTGAATTTCGGTTCCTTGATCGTCATAAATATAAACGTGGTTTGTCTGAGCTACTGCCATCATGGTGTAGTTGTGCAAAAAGGAGACATCTCGTATACGCTCTTGAATGTGTAATTCTCGGTGCAGTTGCAAATGTGTGGCATCCATAATGGCAAGATGACCACGTTGACCATACAATAAAGAATAACGTCCAGATCGGTCATATTTCAAACCATACGGCGAGTGTGGCAGCGTCAAATCGTAAATCTGTCTGGAAGTCTGTTGGTCCAAATGATGATGTTTCAATTCGTGTTGCGACAAACTTGTGGTTCGTTCCATATCATGTTCGGCTTCGACCAAACCAGCAGATTGTGTATTCAGAATAAGATGAGCATCAGCGGCCGATATAGCAGCTTGATACCGCTTTGTCTTGTGAACTTTGACTCTGGCTTGAATCACCTTGTCTTTACGACGGTATTGAACTCGCTTTTGCATGGAACGTTTTTGATAGTCATTGAGCTTCTTGGACTTTGAAATGTGTTCCAAATGTTCACTGGTGGTAATAGCCACGCTGTCCAACGCAGTTTGGGGAACCTTGTCTTTGTATTTCGACAGTAAAGCTTTGTCCTCACTGTGCGAACGCTTGGCAGTCTGGAGATTGTGTTGGACTCGACCTGCCTCTTTCGTTGTCATCCCTCTGGCAATGGAAGAAGTTCTTTCATCAGTACTTTCTTCAGTACCTTCTGTCATCTTGCCAGGAAGTTTTGTCTCCTTTCCACTCGACAAGTCCCAGCAGAAATTGTGATGTGATGATTTTAGATTTGTTGGTTGAATGGACACACCAGAACGTCTTGCCTTCGCTTCGTTTATGCTTCATTGAAATAGAATTTTCAATTGTAGCAGGAATACGCAAATAACTCTTGGAATACAAAAATTAATTTGAGGCGCGCCAAATGCCAACATATCAGTCTGAACTCTGTGACACACAATTTTAAAACTGTGCGTTGTATTATCGCATTCATTCTTCGACAACCATATGGCAACACAGTTTGAGGTCGAAATCTTCGTAGATCGGGAGTCGCGATCTGTTTGGAATTGGCAAAAACACGGTTGGGACGTGCCCGAAAAGTATAGAGTCATCGAGATCTGGAATGGTCTTATCCTTCCCTCCAAGAAGAATGTGATTGAAAGCCTTTTGAACCTCCTGCAATCTTCGGTATTCCGAGAAGAGAATCGAAGATGGGATTCGATTCGCATAGCAGGGAATGGGCGATCTTCGTCGCCTGAATTCTTGTCTATTCTTCAAGCGACTTTCGGCAAATCTGAATGGCTGTGGATTACCAAGGACATGGACGATGTAGCATTCTGTTGCCTCAATTCTGGATTACTGTTGCCAGGTGGGATCCAAAGGCTGAATCTTCAGGAAAGTGCAGGTCGTCCAATGACGCGACGAAAGTTATCAATTTTGTCTCAAGGCTTGGCGGCAGCCAAGTGTTTGAAAACTCTAGTGCTTTCCATTGACTTTATTGGAGCTGGTGTTGGGGAGCACATCATACCCGGAATACAAGCCAATGCGTCCTTGAAATGTATCATTGCCAAGGGGTTTTCACATGAGATCTTGTCGTCGCTGATAACTGCGCTTCCTGGTCATCCTACTATGAAAAGCCTGCGGCTAGCTTGTGGAAATGACCTCGTATTTGATGACAAAATCGGAGAGCCTCTGCGAGCTTGGCTATCTAGGGATGATTGCAAACTGGAATACCTTGAGTTCTTTCGAGAGGAATGCAGTTCATCGGATGCACAAAGCTTTACCCTCAACCTTGATCTGCCGAATATTTCGTTGGAAGGTCTGAAACTGCGTGGAGTCAATGTAGACAGCTCTGCTCTGAATTCAATACTGCCAAAGCTTAAGAGTCTTGGTTGTTTGGAACTCGACCACAATAGGATTACCGACTTGCAACCTTTTGACTGCTTGCTCCTTGGAGAGTCATGCTGTCTCGAGCATTTGGATCTCAAGGACAATCCGATCAGCGTCGCCAGCGCACTAGCCTTTGCTAAGAAACTGCCGCATATGAGAGTATTGAGAAAACTGAAGCTGGGAAACAATCCATTTCTAGACAATAAGGATGCACTGGAAGAATTTTTGGAATTCGTGAACAAGAACACAAGCTTGGAGCAGCTTGAAATAAGCATGCCAGGGGAGGAACCGCACGCTCTGAGACCAAGGCTGATGCCTGGACCCTGTCTAAATCGAGCTTGCCGACGATACCTTGGAAACAACCCAGGTAGTTTGCCGCTACATCTTATACCTTACGTGATTATAAGAGCAAGGAAAATCAGATACTACGACCCATTTGAAGATGCAAGGACTATTCCTTTAAAGGAATTGTTTGAGGGGCATGCCACCTTCTGGCTGTTGCGCGAAAATGACGCTTTACTGTCACATTTGTCATAGACACCACGAACTGAAATCAAACTTTCTTCGCAAGGGAAATCCTTTACCACGACCTTTTCGACAAGAGTGACGACAAGAACTCCAAAAGAAGCAAAATGTGCGACGACGGCCGGGCTGGATGTGTTTCTGGAAAATGGCAGTCAATTTTCACACTTGTCATGAACACTGCGAACTCAAGTGAAAGATTGAATACTCATGTCTTAGACTACCTTTACCTGTACACGGTACCTGGTACCCGGGTGGTGCCAGGTACAAGTTTGAGTGTTGAAGATTTGAAGGAAGTCCAACGAGTCAAAGTTTTCTTTTTTCAAATGCTGTAGATTCCTTTTCATTTTTGTATTTGGTTTTGAAAAATATCATATTCGACAACGTCAGGAATACAAAAACGGTTTTTCAATGCGTTTGTCATTATTGTTTTATTTTTGAAAGCAACAAAATGGCAGCAGCGACTTACGGCGTCGACTGGGATTCGGACGATGAATCCGAAGGAGGCTTTACAGTCCAATTTTCAGTTGACGATGATTCAGATCCAGATGATAATTGGAGGTGGCGTGATGGGGAGAGCTGGCACGTTCCAGAAGAGTACAGATGTCTTTGGATCGGTGGTGAGGTCGATCCACACGACGAAAAATACGAGAGACTAATGGGTTTGTTACTCCACGACAAGCGAAGATGGGAGACAATCTATTTGACACAAGAGGGACGCCCGTCGTCAGCTGGATTCTTGTCGATTCTTCAGGCAACATTCAGCAAAGCAGATGCATTACATCTTTCAGATTGCATGGTTGACAATGCTTCTTTCGCTTGCCTCAATTCAGGCATTATGGTAAACGATGGGATAAAAGATGTTCAGATCTGGGCATCTCCAGTTCGTCCAATAACGGGAGCGCAGATGATCATGTTGTCTCAAGGCCTGGCGACGACAACTACACTAGAAACTTTGGGTTTACCAGTGGACTTGACGGGACCTGGTGTCGTCCGATATCTCATCGCCGGATTAGAAGCCAACAAGTCATTGAAATATCTGAAACTTTGCTGGTGTAAGTATCCACGTGATACTTTGCCAAAGCTAATATCAGCACTCCACTCGCACCCGAAGCTCCGTCGTCTAATGCTGAGAACAGATGAGCTACGTGATTCTCAAGTACAATTGTCCCTCCAATCGTTGCTATCCAGTGACAACTGCAAGCTGGAAGACGTTGATTTGATGAGGCCAATAAGCCATGAGCAAGCCAACGCAAGCTCAAGATTCAGTCTTGGCCAGTTCGACAATCCAAACACACCAATGAAGAGTCTTCATCTTGGTCGCCTTGACCTTGAAGATTCTTCTTTACGTCAGATGCTTCCAAGCTGCAGATATATTGTTGAACTAAATCTCTGTGGTAACAAAATTTGTGACTTGGAACCCCTTGATTTTTTACTTCTTGGAGAATCATGCTCTCTTGAAACACTGCATCTTGAAGAAAACCCCATCACTGTAGACAGTGCAAGAATATTTGCCCGGAAACTACCCAAAATGAATGTGTTGCGGAGACTGGGGCTGAGAGAAAGTCCTTTCCTTGAAGATCAGGAGTTTCTAGAGGAGTTTATCGACCATGCAAACCAGAATAGCAGCATGGAGTGGCTTCGAATCTTCACCACGTACGACAAAGTGACTACGCTAAGACCCAAACTGATGTACGGGCCCAGCTTGAATCGAGCCGGCCGCCGTTACCTCGGGCACAACCCAGGTAATTTGCCGCTGAAGCTACTACCTACAGCCTTTCTGAGATCACGGGAGATCTACTACTTTGACCCTTTGGGGAGTCCAAAAGTGCCAGACGCACGCTTGGATGGATTGGACGCGACTTTCTGGCTATTACGGGAAAACAGCGCTTTGCATTCACACTTCGTCTAGTCGATACGAAGTAAGCATTGAAAACTCAGCACCTCGCGCCAAGCTACAGTAATCTATACGCTTGGGCCAAGTGCCTGCCACTCCTGTTTTCTATCAGGATAGTAGTAGCCGTGCAAGAAAACCCAATTGGAGTACTATAGTCAGGTTCTTGCCGGAAAATGACACCGGCAATCATACTTGCTTTCGTCATTTGTAGATGCAACATAATGATATCTTGTCCAGACCCAATCACGTATAAATAAAGTGGATTGATGAGATGTCGGCGCTATTTTCATCGTTGAAAAGGGACTCTCAACTATTTTCCATTTTGTCCGTCTGTCCGTTTAGTGTCCGATAACAAACAGTCATTTTATGAGAATGATGACTATATTTACAATTTTTAATTATTCACGTTCCTACACGGTAGAGTATTCCATCCGTCCATAGGTGCAGCAACTACCTTCGAACGATGGACAAGGAGGAATTGCGAAAACAAGCTACCCGTATCCTTAGGGTTACGGAGCAGAGAGTGCACAAACAAAGCTTCGTTGCTTTTTTCCTTGGATTTTTAATTTCACACTTACTTTCTGTTGGCAACTTTTCTGTCGCAAAAGACAATTCGGCACACCTCGTGGTTGTCAGCGGCGAATCCAAGAGTGCCGAATCCAAGAGTGTCAACACCAAGAGCGTTGAAACTGAGAGCATTGAAAAAGCAAGTGGACTGAATGCACTGGAACATTCCGACAAGCACAATACATTTGTTTATCATGGAAAAAAAAGTACGACGGACACTTTTACGCCGTTTCATCGGTATATGTCAGAACTCGGTAGTCCAAGTGTCCACAACTTTACCGTTCTTCCTCAACAAAACAGTTGGTTGCATTATTTCGAAGCGTATCACAATCACATGGCACGTTTTCGGGGAAAAGGGAATGTAGTCTTCATGGAAATTGGTGTTCAAAGTGGAGGAAAGATCCCAATTTTGCGAAAATATTTTGGCCCTGGACTTACCTACATTGGGCTTGATATCAACCCTTCCACCAAAATGTTTGAAACGACGGAAAGTGATGATTTCACCGTACACATCGAGATTGGGGATAGTGGTGATCCGAAGTTTCTAGACAAAATCAAAGCAAAATATCCTCACGTGGATATCTTTCTGGATGATGGTGGACATACGATGAAGCAGCAAATGGTTGCCATGGAACACATGCTACCACATGTCCAACCAGAGGGTGTCTACATGTGTGAAGATCTTGGAACTTCGTGGAAACCCAACTTTGGGGGAATTAAATTCGGTAGCGTCGGCAAAGATAACAAGTGGGTGGCGACCACGATGGTTGGCTTGGTTCATCAGTCTCTGGATTGGTTCATGGCACCAGCAAACGCCGGTGCAGGCAAGGGCAATACTGTATTGCAAGATGTGAAGACTATACCTGATGATAGATTCGATTTGAGTCCGGAATCGCCCAGCAACAGATGGTGGAAGACGATTCCAAACCAGGTGAAACACATTCACTACTACAGCCAGATCGTGGTGTACGAAAAGGGAGTTACATATCAAGGTGCTGGATGGAAAACAATCGGAACAAGGATTCCCTACAAAGATTCAGGCACACGTGAAAGAGTAGATTGGAAAAGTATCATAGGACGGTTGGACGGCATTTTCGGTGAGGGGTTGCTATAATAAAGAAGGACTAATCTCAGATTTGGTTGTCACTTTGTCCCTGTGTTGCCAATAAATGAAGAAATGCCGCCCAACTTGATGGCCCAACTTGATGGAAAAGGCTGACAACAATCGACGAAAGTCGGAATACTGCAGATAGCAGAAGGTATTTTTTGTGACCATTTTATACTAAGCATACATAATGTACATATATAAAGTCCAATGATTGTTCTAGGACTACTTGGAGTGCGCTACAGGACAATCTTCTTTTTCAAAACTGTTCCATCGTGCAGTTGCCTTGTAAAGAGTCTGTCACGTTGGGATGATGGGAGTCCATATCAGAGGTGGTTGGACTTGTTGCAGTAAATGACGCGTGTAAATGAAGAAATGCACATCTTTCGACGCCACAGTGTGGATTGCAGTGGTGTAGAAGCGTTGACGGAGCTTGAACAATCAGTTGCCTGCTCAAAGGCATCCACCCCTTACCCTATGTAGGACTTACTACAATTAGCTTGCAGCGCCTGTTTTTGGCACCTGCAGTTACTGCAGTACAGTACTGCACAATAGAGGAAAAGGACTATGCTTACACTCTGCTCTTGATTTCTTCGGGGCCGGGATATTGGAATGGAAACAAATGCTACAGTGTATACCGATACCGATACCGATGCTGTAGTTTTTCAAACGTGTCTTCTAAATGAACTAGCCTGATTATGAGACCAGCAGTGCTAATAGCTCGATAATGTCAAATTTCATTAGGTGGAGTGCATTCAAAGTACACGTACCACTGGAGAGAGTGATTCTAATGCGTTGCGCAAATAAATTAGTTAACCGGACCACTATCTTCAATCGGAACCAGAATAAGAGCCCGATCTAGATCTAGATCTAGATCTAGATCTGGACCTAGTCCTAGACCTAGAACCACTCCTCGAGCGTCTAGATTTGCGTGACCTACGTCGATCATCTCGATCCCGATCTCTCCCATCCCGTCGCTTTCTTTTTTCTTTCTTGCGGGCTCTTTTTTCTTCTCGCTCCTTATCTCGACGCTCATCGTCTACTCGACGTCGATCGTACTGAGCGTCGTCCTCTAGGGAACGAATCAAACACATTGGTAAGGGTTTGACATGCAAAAAGTTGCAGTAACCCCCGCGTGCACAAGATCCTTCATCAAAGTCTCGACATCGAGCTTCTCTAAAGTCGGTAACAGGAGAAAACTCTACTTCCATTTTCCGCCCATCATAGAATCGTCCATTCATAGCCTGCAAGGCATCCGCGGCATCCTCTTCTTCCATGAATTTGCAGTAAACATGACCGATCATGTGATCTCCCAAGTTGTCGCAAACGTGCAAGGCTTCAATTGGTCCATACTTGGAGAGCTCCAGAAACATATCTTCATAAAAGCATAAAAATTCTTCCAGTGCCTTCTCCCTGTCGACGATTGCTTCTCCCGCTGTAGCCGCTTGTTTTAGCTCGGCCAGTCGAACGGGGTGGCGGTATACATGCTTGATGAGAATCGTTGGGGAAAACGCTGGTCTATGATGCAAGCGAGAGCATCGATCAGCATGGCGACAAGCTCCAATCTTGAAGTAAAAGGGGCAGTTCACCTTGTCTTCTTCCGTACCGTGAATACGAGCCAAGTGCTTTGCCATTTTGTCGAGTGTTGAAAGCGGGTATTTCTATTCTTGCGGTGAAGTTGTGCATGAATGAATGTACTCTATCAGTGATGTCGCAGAGGCAGTAGCCAACTGGCGCCTTCAATTCTTGATTCGGGTGACTGACTGACTGACTCACTTAGTTTTTTTGCTGTGGTGCGAATCGAGTCCGATGAGTCCATTAAACCTTTTTCAGATTTTATTTATTTTGTTCGCTGTTATACCGGTAGGGTGGATAACGATGCAACGCACTGAATGATGACGACTCCACGACTCCCTACTGTCTTGAAGACCACCAAAATTCTGAATTTCAAAGGCAATATGCCACCGTGGACGACTCATCAAATCCAAGATATTACTGAATCCAAATAATGTTGGACAGGTTGTTTCCAACCATAGGCACGCTGAACACAGGCATTTTGAGTGAGAACGGTGCTTGGATAATTCCCATCTCTCTCTCTCTCTTCTCTCTCTCTCTCTCTCTCTCTGTGAAGCAAGCTATACATCTGTCGTACCTAATATCGATGACATTCGAAATGCGAAAGAAGAAAATTGCACGACTGTCTGAGCTTTCCGACGATTCATCGGATACATCGGATGAGATTCTTATCACCAAGGACTTGGAAGAGATGCCCGCGACCACAACTTATTCTTCTTTGACAGTGTGTGCTATCACGGACAAAAAGGAGACAATCGACACCAAGCTTGATGAGCCCAAAGGCGACAGCAGTGACAACCGTGCTGTAGTCCACAGCGTTAGTTCAGAAGCAAATATTATGGACAATTCAGAAGAGTATTACTCGCTTTCCATGTTGAAAGAACGAATCCATCATAACTACAGCAACCCAAGTCCTTCCATGCTACAAGCCAAGATACAGACCCCGTTGGTGTTTAGCGCTGCCATTCAAACCTTGCTCGTCGATGCTCAATCGCAAATCAAATTTCGGCAAGGGACCAATCAAATTGACCCAAATATGGGAGATGTTGGTCAACGTCAATTGTGAGCTTACCAAAATATCTTTCCTCCTGGTACATTGGGCTTTACCTTTCCGAAAATAGACAAGACAAAAAAGGCAGACCCAATCTTCTTGCAATTGGAAGGCAGAACCGTACACAATGTACGTTGGGAGCTCAACATTCCAGGAATCCTCCTGAAATGCCCCATCTGCAACTCTGGCGAATTGATTCACCAAGAGTACGATTTCTGCGAGGATGCTACCACTACGGCACTGTGGAGCCCTTCGGGTGATATCGATTTTGCATGTTCCATGAACTACAAGTGCAATGGATGTCATGAGCAATGCAAAGCCAATGACGGACGCTTGTTGGCATCTCCGGGGGCTCATTTCTGTAACGCCTATCCCGTCGATCCTCTATGTGCCTTATCAGACGAGCCTATCCATTTAAATCAATCGCTATTGAGGCTTATGGATATTCTACTGGCCAAAATGACAGAGAACAATGAGAGTAATGTTGTCCAAACCTTTGCCGAAGTTCTACAACAACTGCAACGAAAGAGGCATGCAGAACTGCGCAGCCAGTATCTGGATCAGGCATCATTTGTAGAGGAGAATCTTGCAGCTGAGGCTCCTGGACAGTCGCTTGGATTTCCAAACATGGACGAGTGGAGGGGACCCTTCAACGTTCCTACTGGAAACATGTTGGAAATCCTTGCTGACGCTGTGGCAGAAGCGAAATTGGCAAAGTCCATTTCAGCAGCCAGCGCAATGCAAAAAATGATTGTCCGTAGTCCAAAAACCTACCCAGTCGCAACAACTCCGGCAAAGATTGCAATCGAGATCATTCAGGTCGCAAACGCTTGTGTAGACAATCATGACGATGATGTTCCGAATCTTTCCTTGACTCAAGCTGGTCATTCATTGAATACTGAAATTGACTCGGCTATCGAGGCAAATGAAATGTTGGACAAGGGATGATGTGGTTCGGATCTTGCAGCCGTTTCGAAGTACTGTACTGCCGTTGTAAAAGAATCCAACCAAGCGTACAGCAGAATCTATTTCGATCGCAAACATTGCTCAGGCGGAAGGTATCGATGATTCGGCAATCCAACTAAATTAGCCATTTCCCTGTAATTTCAGCTGGGATACCTGGATAGGCTGAATTACTCCTCTCAGGCAAGGTTCGTACTGGTAGTCGTTTCAAAAACGTTCACAGAACCTCAAAAGCGACTTTTTTAGTCTCGAAGCGAAGCCACCGGCCTTCCAAAGTGTTCGTTTTGGTTGGCACGACAAAATGCAAATTTTGAGACCTGCACTTTCAAATTCCACATCATCACAAACCTTTGCCAGCGTACAGTAGATGTTCTGACACAACGGTTTGGCTACTCCCATTCAATTCTATATTTGTTTTCATTTTATTCGCTGCCCACATTTTACAAGGACAATCCAATCCCACCGAATCAATCAACAATCATGAAGAGGCCCTACATCCATGAACCAAGCACGTATCGAAAAAGTGATGTCATTCTCAGATCCTCTGCCAAGAGACGAAAGCGTCGCAGCAGTAGCAGTAGGGCGAAGAAGACGGAATGTCCACTGACAGCATTGAACCTGCAGCGACGAAAACTACGCTATGCTTCGGAAGTCCAAGTCTGCACCACGATTCCGAATCGAAGGCAAATTTCTTTGGAAGAACGAAATGCCACGTGGATTAGTGGCAAAGAATTCCGACACATGCAAAAGGAGACAGCCAACATCATTGAAAGACTCGAAAAATGTTTCAAGCATGCTTCGTTTTCTTCTCTCTCAGCGGTCTCTGACCTGAATCCTCCCCCCATTAGTACTACTTCTTCTTTGAGTATTATTCCGGAAGAATCGCCAGTAGAGCTGGCAACCATTCCTTCTTTTGAAAATGATTCAAAGGAGGGGAAGGAGATCAATGATTGCGTCCGTGGTTTGGAACAGCATACTAAATTGTACCTTGGAACCAAACTTGCCGTTCAGCGCCTCATGCACGAATGCGTCGAAAAGATTCGGCTCTTGGAAAAAAAGCATAAGCACGACTATGGAGATGTTTTGGCTCAGTTGTGCCAAGTCTGTTCGGCCACGGCGGTCGCCAATGCCTTGGTACTCGGTGCACGAGATGCAAAAGAAGCAGGACATCATCCTGCCGCTACTCCCACAATATAATACTTGATGCCACCAACATTGCTGAAGAATCTCTGTAAGGAAAAAAAAAGCGCAGGCGCATTCTCCTATCCCCTTCTCCTATAGCTACACCACTATCTTTTTGTAGTATTTGTCATTCTAATAACCGTCCCAGTCAACCAATAGGTATATATATATATATATATGCCTGTAATATAGTTTAGCAAGTGATTTCTTCAACACGGCAAGCTAGGACCAGCTGCACGCACCACACGGATCAAGTTGGCACACCACCTGGAGTTCCAAACGGGAAGCCAAGCAGTGACAACAAGTATGATCATCTCTAAATCGGATGAAAACCAATTCCTTCTTCAAGGTTGCGCGGCAAGCATTGCGAAGAAGAAATCATAAAGTGGCTCTTTCGACAATGACTTCACCATAGTCGAGCACCTAATCATCATCAACAACGTATCCATAAAAGACGAAGCGTTTGGCAGATCGGGGGTAAAACCACCCTAACTCATGTCCAAGTTGGTTGACGGGCAGCCCATGTGGTCTCTTTTGGGAGGCACGACGAACAGTGAATCCCTGTGAGAGGAAACATGACAATTCCCTCGGTTGGCGTCAATATATATTATGGTTTGGGAAATTTGACACCCGGCCACAATCATCATGACATCCGAAGGAGTTTTTTGGTGTACTTGTTGAATGGTATCCAAGTATCGATTGATAAGGTGTTGTTGCATGACCACAGATGATTCTTCTAGGAAATGCAACCATGAAGCAAAATATGCTGATGAACTTCATACCCGCAGTAATATAGCCACATGGCATTCCCAGCAAACTGGACTGCAACCACGGTCGTCTCCGCACAGCGAGCGGCTGTCAAACCGACTTCCGAGGGCATTGACTGAACTTGTCACACATTTTTCCAAACTAAAAAAGAAGGATAGTAGGTGGACAAGCGGGCGGCACTCATCAAAAAGAGTCTCCACTCATCACGAGCATCATCATAGGACCAGCGTTTGCGAGTGCAGTTGTAATGTTCAATGTGCTCCGTCCTTCCAAAGATCTAATGCATCCCGTCGCTGTTGCAAGGTTCTCAAGATCGACTCTGTCGGTTGACCTCGTCGACCGCTAGTGGTGGCTTCGCCAGGTTGTGGCCTCCGTGAGCGGCATTCCCTAACGATAGATTGACTTGCTGTTAATAAAATAAAATATTGGCTTGCTATGCGGGTGGGACTGGCCTCGTTGTGTTTTGTGTTCGACCTTGATGGCGGATGCCGCACTCATCGCTGCCACCGAGATGCATGGGAATCATATTCTTCATATACTTCCGAATTCTCTTGGGCCATATTATCATTACTGTATTGCCTCGTCCTCCTCGTTGTTGTTCCTATTGCTGTGCGGTATCTGTTATATATTCTGCCCTCATCTGTGGATATTTAGAAAGTACCCCGGATATTCAAAGTTCTTCCGATCGGACGCATCATCGCATCTTGCGCTTGAAATGTGATGACGACAGAACATCTGCCATATAAAATACCGGTAGATATCTGTCATTCATCAGCCATCAGTCATCAGCCAGTCGGCAGAATACGGTACGGTAGAAAAGGACTCACTCGTCGTACAGTAGTTTCTCCTTCACAGTTGGAACGCAACCCGTTGCTCTCTTGTCTTTTCAAGAAGAAGAAACCACCACCACGCCTCGTGCTCTCGCGTGTATCATCATACTGTAGGTTGCTGGAACATTTAAGATACATTTTCTACAATCCTGAAAAAGTTGCAAGAGAAGAAATACAAAGCCTGGATTGATATTCTATTGACGGTTCTTCAATTGCAATATGGACGCTAATACAGCTACAGCGGCCACTTCGTCATCTGCTGCTGCCAAGCCGCTTACCATTGGAGTTTTTGGAGGGAGCTTCAATCCGGTGCATTTAGGCCATGCGCTCCTCGCCATTACGACACAACAAACCAAGCCAGTGGATCAAGTCGTACTCGTTCCTGTTTACAAACATGCGGTCAAACGGAATTTACTACCCTTTGAGGATCGAGTCCGGATGTGTCAGCTCGCCATTGCGTCCTTTGGAGATGCCTTGTCCGTCTCGACCATTGAACAGGAAGTCGGCGCGTCCAATGGCGCCATGCTTCAGGCACTCAAAAAGAAGTATCCGGAAGGAACACGCTTTGTCTGGATTTGTGGAGATGATTTCATTCGATGGATGCACAAACCCAAAGGCATTGAGACCTTGCAAGAAGTCTCAGGTTTGATTCTACAACGACGCCTTCACAAACAAACAGAGGACATGATCCCAGGCTCTGAAAATGCTACTAGTGGCGCCCAAAATCGATTCATTCAAGAGCCACTCGACGAAGAAAAGTTGCACCGGGTGGCGAAGCAACTCAATTTGGAAGTGGATTTTATTTATGGCGAATTGCCACATTTCTCGTCGACGTTGGTCCGACGAGCACCCGGCCACTGGCGATCCTTCTTGACGCAGACCGTCGTTCAGTATTTGGACGAGCGACCGCATTTACTCCAACAGCTCATCGACGATCTAGAACAAGAAGAACAAGAACAGACGCAATTGGCCAAACGACAAAAGGTGTCCCACCGCCACCATCACAAACGTACGCCGTCCACCTTGGCCAACCTCGGAAAAGCGGGGAGCTTTGTGTTGCAAGGTTTGGATGTGGTCGATGCCTTGCAACTCGAGCGGGGACGGACGGGCTTGCATTTGTCCACGGGGGCCTTTCAATCGGAACTCGAACAAGCCCAGGCGGCGACGGATTCGAGACTCATTCTGCGCAACAACGACCCAACCGAGGGATTGGAAGAATTTGACGAAGTCTCCTCTTTGGCGGCAGAACTCCAACGGATCCCCGTGTGGTTGGGACATGATCGTCGAGTTTTAGAAAAGAGAAGTAAGGCATTGCTAGGACGTGGTGGTATTGATGGCTGGGTGGCGCGGTTGTCCCTTGTGGAAAAGTTCAACTCCCGTATTGATGTGCTGATTGCTGCTACGACTCGGGCTCTCGTTGAGATTTTAGAAAATCACCAGAAAGGCAATGGTGGTGGTGGTGGTGGTGCTGTTGTCCCCTCGAACCAATCATCTAGTAGTACCAATCAGGACATTCCAGAACTTTTAGGGAAATGGTGTGATGGGAAGGAAGCCTTGGGCCGCCTCCGTGCCTTTGTCTGTGCGGCCGGTCCTACCGCCCCACAAATGGTGCAGAGCTCGTTAAAGATGAGACAACGACTGAATCAACGAATCGACACCAAGGATCGTTCCATTGCCCAAGTCCTCGACTTTGAAGCGGGCTTTTCGTCGAAGGTCTCTGCCCCGGAGGCCTTGATCAGCTTGCTTCACAACGTGACACTTTGGGAATACAAGTTGATGCGATGTTTTGCGTCCAGTACTCCCCTTCCCGTCATTCATACATTTTTGAACTCTCTTCCGTCCCAGGATGACGTTGGAAGCTTTGATGTGGAGAAATTTTTTGATGCTTCCACGTCGGCGATTGATTTTCTACTCAGTTTTGCCAAAGCGTTGGCAGCTTCCGCATGTGCAACTGCATAGATTACTTGAAGATACTGTAGATAAAAGTATTATATTACATTGCACTGTGTATACGGTATTCTCTAGGCTTTTAATTATAGACCAGCCACTGAGGATTGCGACTTGAGGCTACTCGTAGAAAGAGTGGAGAATGCCTGTACCTGTGCACATGCGAATACATACTACAAGATAACCCATAGATGTATATATTATAGTTTATTTAGCAAATGGTTTATTCCACGCGGCAAGTTCCATCCCAACAACTTGGACCAGCAGCCGGAACCACACGGATCAAGTTGGCAGCTCCTGGAGTTCCAAACGGAAGTCCAGCTGTAACGACAAGTAGATCATCTGGATCGGACACCAATCCCTTCTTCAAGGCGGCTCGGCAAGCATTTCGAAGGACCAAGTCCAAATCATCGGTGGCTCTTTCGACAATGGCTTCGTCATAGTCGAGAACCTCTTCATCATCCACAACGTACCCGTAAGATGCAGCATTTGGAAGATCGGGGTAAACACCCCAACTCATGACAAGCTGGCGGGCAGTTTCCTTAAAGGGACAAAGGGCCATGATCGGCACGGGTGGTCTCTTTTGGGAGGCACGACGAACGGTGGATCCGGTGAGAGAAAACGTGACAATCCCCTTGGCGTCAATGGTTTGGGAAATTTGACGCGCGGCCACAATCATGGCATCCGTGGGAGTCTTTTTGTTGACTTGGATAATGGAATCCAAGTACCGGCGGTAGTGAGGATCCCCCTCGACTCGATTGATAATGCGTTGTTGCATGGCCACAGATTCTTCGGGATAATCTCCGGCGGCCGATTCGGCACTGAGCATAATGGCATCGGCACCATCGTAAATTGCGGTGGCAACGTCACTGGCTTCGGCACGGGTGGGTGTAGGAGATTCAATCATGGATTCGAGCATCTGTGTTGCCACAACGACTGGTTTGCCTGGAATGATGATAACAATGAAAAGATGTCAAAGTGAGCAATGCAATTTGAGAAATTTTTTGGAGCCGCTCCCATCATCGTTTGTATCGTACCTTGTTTTCGGCATTCATCAATAATCGTCTTTTGCAAGATAGGGACATCCTCGGGGGCACACTCGACACCTAAATCACCACGGGCCACCATGATCCCATCGCACAAATCGACCAATCGCTCCAAGTGATCATCATCAAAGCAAGATGGCTTTTCAATCTTTGCCATGACGCATGGCTTGAAGCCTCCCGGCTCTGTCTTGGAATCAATAATTTCTCGAATTTCTTCAATATCTTCCGGGCGTTGGACAAAGGATAGAGCCACCCAGTCGACTCCAATTTTGAGCATGTAATCCAAATCACTGCGATCCTTGGGAGTGAGGGGAGAAATCTTGAGGATGGAATCGGGTGTGTTGACTCCCTTGCGGTTGCTAATCTTTCCAGAAACTTCCACTCGACACTTCAAGTAGTCGTCACCAGTTTCCGTGACTGTGAGGCGAACCTTGCCGTCGTCGACCATGAGGGTGTGTCCGACTTCACTGGCCTTGATAATTTCCGGGTGAGGCAATTGGACGCGGGTAGTGTCACCCTTTGCTTCGTCCAAGTCAAAGGTAAATTCTTGTCCCTTTTCCAAATATTCGCCGTCGGGGCTGGAGAATTCGCCAACCTAAAATTTCCACGACGAGAAAGCGAAGAAAGTTTGGATGAGTGACGCAATGGCAGTAACTGACAAGAATTGACAAGGGAGAATATTCAAGTCGTAGTTGAATGACCACAAAAGGATCTTTACAGAATTCATTGACAAAGAACTTACTCTCAATTTTGGCCCTTGCAAGTCTCCCAAAATACCAATGGGATGGGAGTACTTTTCTTCAATCTCTCGAATGGTCATCAACAGTTCCTTCTTTTGTTCTTGAGATCCATGCGAAAAATTCAAACGAAAGACATCAGCTCCTGCTAGAAATAGTGTCTCAATCATTTCCTTGGTCGACGAGGCAGGTCCCAATGTGACAAGTTGCTTGGTGCTCTTTCTCCATCGCTGGGCGACCTTTGGAACGGATGCGACTGCAGGCACGTTCATGGCACTGACACTCACAGCCTGTAGCGGGCTGATGGTATTTGAGTAGTCCTGTGAAACTCTTGTGGTGGTTGTTCTTGTTGTTCTTGTGATGGTGGTGGTGGCAGGAGCAAAGGAATACGTGGATGGCACCACGCAGAGAATGGCTGCTGCAACGACGGCACTGGCTGGAAACTTCATGATTGTATTATTGTACTGGTTGGTGTGTGTGCGTGTGTGTGTGTGTATGTTGGATATAGTCCTAAGTGTGCTTGGTTGCTTCAAGATACTGTACAGTATGACTTCGTTTTGTTCTGACAGGTGAAAGACGTAAGTAATGAAGTAGGAGAAGTATCTTTGTGTCAAATCCGTGGCAAAATTGACGACGTGTTGTGTGTGTGGTTCAAAGATATTTTTCTTTGTTTTTCTTCCTCCATTTTGGGACGTCGCCCATCAAACATTCAACCGGCACATCACCCCTCCACCAATCATCAACATTCTCCTTTTTATTACGTAGAATTCCACGTGACATGTGGAGAAGAGAGTGCGTAAGAGTGACACAAGTCGGACAAATTTAGCCCAATCATACACCTCCACATCCTGTGCAATCAATCCAACTGCCAATGCCGATATCTACCGAAGATACTTCGGTTGCAGTCTAAAATATGATGTATTATATCGTATGTATCTTTTTAAAATGTGATAGAGCAACTGTAGTTGCTCTCTAATCTAATGTGTGTATGTATGTATGTATATCTGTTCTCTTTGCTTTCAAAATTATCCAATTTCAAGTTCCCTGTTGAAATTGATTGGTATATAGCCCAGTCTTGGAGCATAGTAATGCCTGATTGTTGCGGGTGGGCCATCCTCCTCCTCCTCCTCACCATCATCTTCAATCGATCTAGCTAGTATTCCTTGTATCCATTCGGCTTACTCTTGAGGTACTCTGTCAGCCGATGAATCCTTTCATGTTTGCGTCCCGATAGAGAGATTCCCACCTTTTTGCACCAATCTCCCGATTCTTGATAGCTCAGGCCTTGGACGGTCTCAGTGGAAAGAAACCTTCGAAAACCCGTCACCATCTTGTGTTGATTTTGGTTGTTGTTGGTAGTTGTCATGTATGCTGATGGATTAGTAGTAGCAGTAGTAGTAGCAGCAGCATTAGTACCAGTAGCAGCGCATGGGAGAGGATTGGTCGTCCTAACCTTTCGATCCATGGCTCGCTTGATGGGAATCAATTTGTTATTCTGATGGTGGTCTCCTCCTCCTCCCCGCAATGGCGATGGATGTCCTGGTGGCTGTTGCTGCGAAGTGGTCGGAGGTGAAATGACAGCCGTGGTTGGCTGCATTGTTGTTGTTGTTGTCGTTGTCGTTGTTGTCGTTGTTGGTGAAATGGAAGAAAAGGTCGTCTTGGCGGCTGCCACTAGATTGTGCGCCGCCGCTTGTCGGCTTTGATCTTCCCGAGGACCCACTGCAGCAGCAGGAGCAGCAGACCAAGGATGATGTTGATAGGGCCGTGTGAATACCAATTGGCTGCTGCCATGTTGTTGTTGTTGTTGTTGTTGTTGTTGTTGTCCCATGAGGTGGATTCCAAAACCAAATTTATCGGGTGACAGTGAAATGTGTCCATTGGATGGCAAAGGTTCTCCTAATACAATGGATCCAAAGTAGCCTTTCAAATGGTTTCCATTTCTATTCGAATTTGAATCTTCTTGTGACTTGTGGATGATGAACTCTCCTATTGGACAGTTGGAAAAGGCCATTTGCAAGTGGTATCCATAGACACTGCTGGAAGCAGTTGGAATGACATTTACATCATAGGCAGATGCCATGGCAACAATCTTTCGTGCTTCCGTGAGACCCCCACAGGTGGTCAGATTGAGACGAATGACACTGCAAGATTCCTGTTCGAGTAACCCTCGGTAGTCATATCGCGTGTACAAGTGTTCCCCAATTGCCCAAGATATCGTGGGCACCTGGTCCTTTAGTTTGGAATACCAATCGCATTGGTTGTTTCGTCGCGGAGGAGCCAGGGATGATGATGGTGATGACGATGATTCCTCCATCCATTTTAGATTGCAGCCTTGGCAATGTTTGGCCAATTCAATGGCATAGGGCAATGTCAGTTTTTCCCTGTTGCACTGCACCATCAATGGATAATCCGGTCCAAGGGTTCCCCTCCACTTGCGAATCAAATTCAAATTTTGTGTCATTCCGTTGGATCCTTCCGATGGTCCAAACGGCATTGTCATTTTGGCAGCCTGAAATCCCAGGCGCTTGGCCACATCCGGTCGCACCGTGGTGGCATACAGCGACAGTTTTTCTTTGGTTTTCCCACCCAACATGGCATAAACTGGCAACTTTCTCAATTTCCCCAAGACATCCCAAATGGCCAAATCAATGGCGCTAATGGCATGCATGGCAACCCCTCGTTCGCTATAGTGCACCGAAATCTGACGAAACATTTTGTTCCAAATCAACTCCACGTTGGATGGATCTTCTCCCTCGACACACTGCTTGGCCAATTGTTTCTCGACAATGTAACATGCGGCATCACCTCCCGTGCTAATACCAATCCCAATCATGCCATTCTCCAGTTCAACTTGGACCAGAAAGGTGGTGCTGCCGGCATCCTTATTATTCGCGTCGTCGTCGTCGTCGTCGTCGTGCTCCAGTCGTGGTACACAATACGCTCGGACTTGTTGGATGCAGCAGATTGGGGCTGGAATCATCCGAGGTCCCAATTTCCAGGACATGCTGTTTGTTTGTGTGTGTGTGTGTGTGTGTGTTCCCGCTTGAAGTCCAATGGATGATGAAAGAGTAGTATTTCTATTCTATTCTATCCTATATTGTATTCTATATTGTATTCTATTGTTGTACAGGTAAGACATCGCATACGGTACACATCCTCCTCCAAAATATATCACGGATTGATTTTTTACATGAACCGAACCAACCAATGAACATGAATGAATGAATCGAATCAATGCCCCCGCCCCCTTTGCAGGACACAAAAAGATTTATTACGCAATCTTACGCAGCAATGGTAGAAATTCAAATGGCATCTTCTTGCGTAGAAGTCTTGTATTATCCATACATACACAACAAAAAGAGGGTACAGCGCGCCGATACTTTTACGCCCCCGCGCCACAAAGGCCTTTGTTTGGGGATCTTCCTTTTTTAAAAATTAACGGTGGCTCAACAATGGTTTTTTTAGGCTCCCCGAAAAATGACTCCAAAAGATTCGTTTTGGTAGTGTTACCACTACCGGTAGTAAGCCCCCCCGAAACCCATTGGACTCGAAATAGATTCGTTTTCGCAGAAACCGGCGCAACTTCAGGTTCCTTTGGGGAGTTTTGGAGCGACTTTATCGAACGCTCGTGTTCGTTGGGGGAGTTTGTACCATGACAGATGAGATTGCGAAAGATGGGACTCGTAGGTTTGTACGCAGCAAGTCATTGGAATAACGGTCAATTACCGGTTTGCTGATGTTAGGTTGGAGCCGTGTCTCTCACGATTGGGTGACGTACAAAAAGTACTATGTTTCGAGTGAAGGACGTCAGTGGGGGCGTGTTTGGGGTGGAATTCTCACTTCAAATTCCAAGGCTTCCCATTGAAATTGCATCGAGATGATTCTGTTGGCAGTGAAATAGATACGTTTTGAGCATTCTTTCGTACGAACGTAGCGCTTCCACAAACAAATTCATCATTGATAGTGGACAACAGTACCAGTGTTAATATCTCATCCCTCTCTCAATTCCACAAGAAGCAAGTGTATCATTTCAAATCTTCTCAATAGAACCACAATGTCAGGATCATCATCTAGCCCTCTTGTCATGTCACAATCACCTTCCTTGCCATCGGCTTCCGAAGCTTCTCATACGCTTCCCAAATTGGCACAGAATGCCAAATTCGAAAAGAAATACTGGGCCGATGATCGTCATCCAATCTCGCAAAGCCCTTCCACGACGGTCCGCGTCTGTTACCGCAAAGATCGCAGTCGATGGGCCGTCAAGACGCTTCAGAAATCCAAGGTGGAACACTGGTCGCATTTGATCAACGAAGTGGAACTCATCCAGGAAGTCCAAGATCATCCTACTATCAATCCATTGGTAGACGTCTTCGAAGACCACAAATCGGTTCATCTCGTCTCGGATCTTTGTTCGGGTGGAAGACTTTCGTTATATGTGCAATCCACCGTTTTGGACAATCCCTCGCCCGATTACCAATATCACGAACAGGAAGTCGCTTGCATCATTCAGCAATTACTAAGAGCCATTGAACACTGTCATGACCGAGACATTGTCCACCGGGACTTGAAATTGGACAATGTGTTGTTCAAGAAACACAAGAATTTGCAAGTCCGATTGATTGACTTTGATATTTCTTGCAAACATTCGTCCCAAGACGAGCCCATGACGGAAGCCGTCGGTACCAAAGCATACATGGCACCAGAAGTCTTTGACCGATCCTATGATCGCAAGTGTGATATCTGGGCGATTGGGGTCATGACCCATGCCTTGCTCAGTGGAGAAATGCCCTTTGGGGGCAAGGACGATGAAGAGTTGGTTCACAATATTCGAAACAAACCCTTTGCGTGGGAAGCACCCTGCTGGGAGTACATTTCGGACGAAGCCAAGGCTTTTATTCAACTTTGTTTGGAACGGGACCCTACCAAGCGCCCATCGGCAGAAGACTTACTTTCGAATGATTGGATGGGTGTGGCGGCGACGTCGTATAAGCGCCGTTCTACCAAAAAGCCAAATCTGTTCCAAAGGAGTGAATTCCTACGAAATCTCTTTTCTATTATTGAAGAGAAATGCACCATTCGGGCTCCCGTTAGGAAACTCGTGGTTCCTACAAATGAAGACCCCATGGAGGGTACGACGAGGACGGTGCAATTGCAATAAAACTGTTTGTGGAAGAACAGGAGCAATGACAATCATGCGATCAGATGAATCACACGTCATTGCGGTTATATACTATACCATTAGACTTGTTTGGACTGCCAAAAAGCCATTTGTAACATGTGTGCTGTACAATATAAAAGAGACTATATTATAAGACTAATATATTTTAAAATAATATTATACTTTCAATACTCCTTCGTCCTAAGACAAACTTGAAAATATAAAAGTATGAGAACTTGTTTCCAAATAAGCTTCCCAACGATGAAAGCTCATTTTTTCGCAGCAAAACCTGATCCACAAATCGCGTGTCATTATCATTTTCTTCTTGAGAGCTTCCCAACAATGGAAGCCAGCAAAACTTTGGCCTTGGAATTGTAGCTCATGGCAACTCGATGAACTTTCACCAAGATTGTTACAAAAAACTTAATGCAAAATGAGCGATTGATTTCTGATATCATTTCAACCATTTCACATGTTTCTGTAGTGTCAGGATGTTCTGGTCCAAGTGCCTTCACTCGGATCTCAAGCGCCCGTTGGTATTGCTCCAAGGCGTCCTCGTAGTTGCCTTGACTTTGAAAGACGTTTCCCATGTTATTATATGTTGAAGCAGTGTGCGGATGTTCTGGTCCAAGTGCCTTCACTCGGATCTCAAGCGCCCGTTGGTATTGCTCCAAGGCATCCTCATATTTGCCTTGCTTTAGAAAGACGGTTCCGATGTTATGATATGTTGAAGCAGTGTGCGGATGCTCTGGTCCAAGTGCCTTCACTCGGATCTCAAGCGCCCGTTGGTATTGCTCCAAGGCATCCTCATATTTGCCTTGACTTTGAAAGACGTTTCCAATGTTATTATATGTTGAAGCAGTTGAGGGATGTTCTGGTCCAAGTGCCTTCACGTAGATCTCAAGCGCCCGTTGGTATTGCTCCAAGGAATCCTCATATTTGCCTTGATTTTGAAAGACGTTTCCAATGTTATTATATGTTGAAGCAGTGTCAGGATGTTCTGGTCCAAGTGCCTTCACGTAGATCTCAAGCGCCCATTGGTATTGCTCCAAGGCGTCCTTGTATTTGCCTTGATTTTGAAAGACCATTCCCATGTTATTATATGTTGAAGCAGTGTGCGGATGTTCTGGTCCAAGTGCCTTCACTCGGATCTCAAGCGCCCGTTGGTATTGCTCCAAGGCATCCTCATATTTGCCTTGACTTTGAAAGACAGCTCCAATGTTATTATATGTTGAAGCAGTGTCAGGATGCTCTGGTCCAAGTGCCTTCACTCGGATCTCAAGCGCCCGTTGGTATTGCTCCAAGGCGTCCTCGTATTTGCCTTGTTTTCCAAAGACAGTTCCCATGTTATTGTATGTTGAAGCAGTGTCAGGATGTTCTGGTCCAAGTGCCTTCACTCGGATCTCAAGCGCCCATTGGTATTGCTCCAAGGCGTCCTTGTATTTGCCTTGATTTTGAAAGACGTTTCCAATGTTATTATATGTTGAAGCAGTGTGCGGATGTTCTGGTCCAAGTGCCTTCACGTAGATCTCAAGCGCCCGTTGGTATTGCTCCAAGGCATCCTCGTTTTTGCCTTGATCTTGAAAGACGTTTCCCATGTTATGATATGTTGAAGCAGTGTGCGGATGTTCTGGTCCAAGTGCCTTCACGTAGATCTCAAGCGCCCGTTGGTATTGCTTCAAGGCGTCCTCATGTTTGCCTTGATTTTGAAAGACAACTCCCATGTTATTATATGTTGAAGCAGTGTCAGGATGTTCTGGTCCAAGTGCCTTCACGTAGATCTCAAGCACCCGTTGGTATTGCTTCAAGGCGTCCTCGTAGTTGCCTTGATTTTGAAAGACGATTCCAATGCAATGATACGTTGCTGCCATCGTCAGATGATTGTCACATTGAAAGACCTCCCTCTCAATGTTCAGCGTCTGTTGAAAAAGTTCCATGGCTTCCTCGAGTCTTCCTTCAACAAGAAAGTGCATTGCAATATTGCTGTATTGCAAAGCTACATCCGAGTCCATCAAGCCCTTTGCCTGCAATTGGTGTCCAAGTTCATCCCATAAACGTCTTTGTTCTTCATCAAATTTCTGGCTTGTCATTGTGTTGCAAATCTTGGCCACCTCTGGGTCCGTCCAACCCATGCCCGAACTCGTTTCCTTTAATAGTTGACTCAGTTCATCATTGAAACGGATTTGTTCCTCTTTTGACGGTCGCACATATGGTCGACCGCCTTCCATTCCAAAAGACAGTTCGTCATCTGGAGCAACTTGTTGTCGTGAAGCTGGGTCTTCATTGTTGTGCGCCCCTCTGCAATCATCATCTGGTGCTGCAGAGCTTGCTTCAGAATAGCCACCGTCCTTCTGTTCCTTGGATGAATCTCTAACAGTGTCTGGCACTTCTTGGATTGTCTCATGGGTCATGCTTCTGGTGGCAATCATCATGCTTTTGGCACCAAGGCTTCTATTCTCGATGGGATCTTGACGCATGTCATGAGCGCCTGTGCGCTCGCTGTCAAATGTGACCATCGAGCTAGCGTCACAACCATCATGATCATTTGTATCGCGCACGGCAACATAAGCTGGACCATCATCCTTTGCAAAAGACAACTCTTCATCGGAAGCAATTTGCTGTCGCGAAGCCGAGTCTTCATTGTGCATCTCTCTGCTATCATCACCTGGTGCTGCCGAGCTTGCTTCCGAAGAGCTTTCGTCCTTCTGTTCGTTGGCGCTTTTAACAATTTTTGAAATCGTACCTATTTCACTCATGCTGCAGGGCGACTGCTTTTGATTGTCTTCCGACATGTTTTATGATGAGTGAGCGTTGTGGTCACATAATCACAAACGAAACCTACAAAACAGCATCACGCAAGAAAATATTTCTTCCAGAAAGAAGGAAATTGTGAAGCACAAAGATTATTCCTCGTAGAGTGCTGTAGGCTTTATACTCCATCCCTAAGCACGGAAGAAGGGATCATTTTTTTCCTCGTACTCGTACAATTCCTACACGCGCATTTTGGGAAGAAAACATTTCTTCCAGTCGCGCAGACACACAAGTTTTATTGGAATGATGATGATGATGATGATGACGACGAACGTTGTTCATAAAATCGAACGAAGTTGTGTCGGAAAGGCAATTGAATCGACACTGCTTGCTTCACCTACTACTACACCTACAGCCAACAGCAAAACAAACCGAAGACCATCATGAATGCCAACGATGTACTTTGCCGTCAGGGTAAATACAGACACCATGGAAACGTCAACCTTCGGGCAACCATTATAGAAAGGTTTGACGCGTACGAGGCAGCTGACAAGCAGGGAAGAGCAGAAGTAGCAGAAGCCATTGTATTGGACGTGCCACGAAGCGGTGGGCAATTCATGGCATGGGACGAGGAAAATCGACGCTACTACAATATGACCAACAAGGAAGCAGTGAAGTTTGTGAGAACAGCATTTGACAGACGCAGATTCAAGCTGAATCACCCAAAGGATCAAACTGCACAACAAACTGCACAACAAACTGCACAACAAACTGCACAACAAACTGCACAACAAACAAACCAAGAACCAAGTGCCCCTGAAGAGAAAGGGGCTGGTATAGCCACAGCTTCACGCGTGGCAGAAGCACCAAATGGAAACGGGGACGATGATTTGAACTCTGGAATGGAATCATTGTCTTTGGAAAGTGATCAACGCAGAATCTTTTGTTCCCTATTTGAAGACGAGGACACGGTAGTAGTCGGCAACAAAGTGACTCGGGACGAAGATGATCATTCGACAAGAGGTATGCTGTTGGCCCTCTTGTTCGATGAGGGGGGCGAGCAGCTTGCCGAAACTCTAATGTCCATTGTGAATTCGCCTGGCCAAGAAGCACCAACAAAAGCACCAGCACCAGCATCAGCAGCAGCAGCAGCAGCGAAACCAAATTGTATCACTTTGACTTTGGACGATAAAGCCCAAAAGAGTCTAGAGGCGGCAAAGGAGGCCCTCCAGAGAAAACAGAGACCGTCGAAATGTGCCAGACGCAATGCCCTAGAGGCAATGGAAGGAGTTGAAGGAGGGGGCGCTCAGCCAGAGGCTGTGGACGAAGCTCAAAAATTGGAGGACGATATATCGAAATCCATTCAAAGTTCGCAAATGGTTCTCCCCTTCAACATGGAACAAGACATGCCCCGACTTGAAATCAAGAAGGCACATAGAATGGCACCCAAGGAGGGAGCAGAGGAAGACAGAGAATACACTGGTTCCATGATGGACGGCAAGCCTCATGGCACAGGATACATGATATATGATCATGGCAGAATCCTCTGCGGAAATTGGTGCGTATCGATTGTCATTTGCTTCCCGTAAACATCAAGTCGTCAATAGCTACTCACCAACGCCTTCTCCTTCTAAGGTTACACGGAGTATTCCAAGGCCAAGGATGTGCACTTTATGAGAATGGGGATACGGCTTTTGGGTCCTTTCTCAAGAATAAGATAAATGGTTTTACAGCTTACATGACCAAGTTCACAAAGTACGTCGGCCAATACCATAAGAACCGTCGGCACGGAAAAGGTGTATTTATTGATTATCACCGGGGCACATACAGCGGTGATTTTATCGAGGGTAGGTTTGAAGGGTTGGGTATGCATGCTGGCATGAATGGAAAAATCACAGCAGGTCATTTTAAGAACTGGATATCTGCGAATGCCACCATTGGTAGCGAGGCGGAACATAAGGAATCCAGCTCGATGATGTAAAACGGCAAGGAAGTTATGGTAGTGCATCATTTGCTCAGGGCCTCCATACCACTTTCAGTCTTGCTGGTTTCGCTACGATTGAAGTATCCTGCCATGCAAGACCATGCCTTTAGTAGCGGCAGTCATGGCTTGTTGACTGACCAATTTATAGAGTTATTAAAAATATGATATGCATTTCCATCAAACTCCTCAATCATCACAAGAAAACCACAAGGTATATGTATGGTACCAGTACCTGGGACGCACATCGAGACTTGTCCTTCAGAAAATATATCATCGCTCTATAGTTAATTATTATTTCTATATAGTTTGTTCATTTCTTCTTCTTTTTAGGCTTTGCCTTCCTAGCATTTTGAGCATCCTTCAGTTTGGATTTGAGTGCCGCATTGGCATTTGGATTGGTCGGCTTGGCACGAGGTTCCGGTCTCGTATTCAGGATCCCATTGACAATGGTGCGGTACTGACCTTTGCCTTCGACCTTCCGTCCATGACTGTTTTCAGCCTTTACAATCTGGGCATCTAGAAAGGCCATGTCGTCCAAATCGTCCAGGCTTTCTTCTGGTTCGTGTTTGACTGGTTTCTTTCCACCTAGCTTCTGTCCCTTACATTTCTTCTTCTTTTTCGTTCCGCCCTGCTGCTTTTGCACACCGGTGGCTTGGCTACCACCTTGATTCTGCTGTCGTTCGGCGCGTTCTTTGGCCAGTTGGGCCAAGAGTGAATTCCCTTGTGAATCTGAAGTCGAAGTTGCCATAGCTTCCTGATCTTTGGACGGTTCATTCGCTTCTTCATCATCACCCGATTCAGAATCACTATCGTCAATGGCTAATGCAGCAAAGGAGGGACCAGTCGCAGTATTGGCTGAGATGCCTTCGTCTATGGCATCGTCATTTGCTTTGCCACCACCAGCTTTGGAAGTCGCCTTGGATTCTTCCGGCCCTTGCTTCCTGACAATGGAAAGAATAATCCTTCGATCGACGCCCTCTGTCCCTTCACTTCGGTGCCCCAGTCCCAGTTGTTCGGCAAGTTCATGAACTAGCATTCGTTCATAGCTGCTGAGTTCGGTGCTCAATTTCATTTCTTTTCCCAAAGGACCGAATTCAGCAAACTTGGAAATCTGGTCCATGAGTGCTTTTCGCCTGATCTCGTCCTCCTTTTTCTTTTCCTCTTTCTTTTGCTCAATGCTCTTGGTCTTTGACTTTTCTGTGGACCTGACTTCGGACTCCACCATTTGCAACAGCGCCGCTTCAGCCGATCGTAGGTCCGCTTCGTAGTCCTCATTTTCACCACCACCAGCCGCGTATTCAATGGCCGATCGAGTCTCGCCATTTGTTTCCATCCAGTCGATCAAATTCTTAATGAACTTGCTCTGACACACCGTCTCGGTATCGCACACGACCGCCAAGTGACGCTTGGCACGGGTGATCGCCACATTCTGACGCCGGTCATCCTTCAAGAAACCAATACCGTCCTTTCCTCCACGGTCACTGCTTCGGACGAGACTGAGAATCACCGCTTCCCGTTCACCTCCTTGAAATCCATCAACGGTCCGAATCTCCAATCGAGGATAATCCTGTAGCAGCATGCTGCGCAGTAGTTCGACTTGCCCGTTGTAGGGAGTAATAATGGCCAATTGACTCTGATCCAGTCCCATTTGGATTAGCCGTTGTACATGCTTTGTCACAATATTAGCCTCTCCGTGATTCAAGCGTGATCCTGCCGCATTGACCGTTTCAAAGTATTCGCATCCAGCCGTATCCACCAGCAGCATTCTAGTCTTGGCCATTTCGTCCATACTTCCACTGCTACCATGGGAAGCAACCTTTTGCAAATCTTCCAATTGGCTCAGCGTGCGATCCCGGACGCTAGAGTGTGTTTGGAGTTCCCCATGGTACATGGCTTGACTGGCCCAATCGGCAATGTCGTGGTGCATTCGGTATTGGAGCTGCAACATGCGAGAAATCTTGGGGTCGGCTACTCCCTTCTTTTGGTCATCCCCGTACAATTCCATCAATCGTTCAAACATGGTTTTGGAAAGTCCCACTTGTGCTTGACGTTGACGAGCCTTGATTGTGGGAGGCAATTGACAATGGTCTCCTGCCAGGACTATTCGTTTGCCGCGAAGGACCGGAATCCAGCACGAAGCCTCCAAAGCTTGGGCCGCCTCGTCAATAATGACCAGATCAAAGCCGCCTTCCACCTTGTCCAATCGTCGATTGGCTGCTCCCACCGTGGTGGCAAGGACTACTTGGGCTGTCCCAATCAATTCCTGGACCACCTTTTCTTCTCGTTGTCGAATTTCCTTTCGCAGCGTTTTGACTTCCCGGTAGGCTGCCCGTTTGTCATTCGGTCGTGACTTTGGATTGGACAAGACTTTGAGGTAGGATTGGAGTTCTTTGCGAACATCCTTGACAATTTCTGTCCCATCGGCACCTTGGACCTGAGCTTCCAGACTATATTTCAAAATGGATGCTTTGATTCTTGCTGGATGCCCCAATCGAAGGGCTTTCAAGGACCTATTTTGTGATTTTGGGATGCTCTTATTGTCTTTGATGTTTGCTGCTGGAGGTTGTGGAGCGTTGGAAGTTGCGACGAGTCGTTCTAGAATATTGTCCACAGCGACGTTGCTAGGAGCCGTCACCAACACTTTCATATTGTGCACCTTGACTGCTTGATATATCAACTCGGCCACCGTGGTCGTTTTCCCTGTTCCTGGTGGACCATGAATCAAGGCAATCTTTCGTTCACTGTGCAACGCAAAAGATATCGCTTCCATTTGACTCTCGTCCAAGTTGTCATTAAAGGCGTCAAAGTTTGCCGCATGTTTATTATTCTTGATGGAAAGATCGGGATCAAACATGGCCTTGACGACGCTCCCACAAACGGGATGATTGACCCCATCTTTCTCCAAGGCATCCAATGCCTTGATCATTTTGCGATGGACTTCGACGGAACTCATTGGGACCAACGAAAAGGGAGGCTGACTCAGGAAATCATTTTCGTCCGCTTGGGAATCCTCATTATTTTTCTTTGATTTGTTGGCCGCTTTCTTGTTGTTGTTGTTGTTATTGTCCTTCTTGTTGTTGTTATTCTGAAATGAATTCCTGGTTTCAAAGATTGCCACACTGACAAAGGTATCGGCAACGGCGCAAATAACCCCGGTCGGCGAGTCCTTGCGATTTTGTTTTCGAATTTGTACTTCATCTCCCACCGTGAATCGATGCGCTGGTAACAGTACTTCTTCCGACGTTGTCCTTTCTGCTGTAAGCAAAGACATTTGCACCACGGTACGTCCGTACAATCCAACCGAGACATCCGAGACTTCCAAACTTGCCAGGACATGGGAAGCACGTTCTTCTACCGATTTGGACTCTTCGGGAGACGAATCTGCTTCAAATTCAAGGCCGAGAAGCTCTTTTTGTTTGGCAACAAACTCTCGAATGGTGCCTTCGCTCATGATGACGATGATGATCAAGCGCAAACTGATGTGTTGTTTTGGATGCTAAAAGTAAGAAAGGATGATGATGCGTGCGGTTATTTTATGCGTGTTCCGATGATTTGCTGAAACGGGGGACACGCCCCTTGTTGGTGCAAATTTTTGTGCAACTTCTCAATTTAAAAAATCCCCGAAATGTGATGTGTCATCTGCACCGTCCAATTTCAATGTTCGTGTTTTAGAAGGCGTATTTGGCACGTGTACATCTAATGTTTTAGTCTTTTACCATAACTGTAGACTGCACCTTCCAGTCAAGAAGATAAATGTCGAGTGCAAAGAAATATGTTGCGATAAACATGAGCCGCGTTTTTTATCACTTTCATCCGCAATTATTATGAAAATAACATGTGTAATTCCGAAAGCGTCATATTTACCGTGTTCAGATCGCCAATGCCGACTACAACGACAAATCCGCGTAGAGATTGGTACTGAGAAGCCAAAGATTTTTATTTTGGTCTTGCTTGTGACGCGAAGACCGATCTTTTTGGTCCAACGATTTTATTTGAATTTGCAAACGAATGAATGCAATATATTGACGGGTCCAAAACGTGACACTAAATACCTAAAGTATTGAACAACAAACAAGTCTCCAAAGATGGTCAAGGAACCAAGTGTGGATGGAAGATCCTTTGGCTCCTGGGATGACATTCTCAGTGAAACTGTCATGGCAGACAGTAACAATGATGACGAAGTAAATGAACGAATGGAAGGAGTTGGAAAACGGGAGACCCGCCAACTAGAAGTCTTCAAAACTGTCTTTCTTGGGTTGTTGCTGGTTGCCACTGTCTTGATCTCCTGGACCGTCTACAGCATTACGGAATCCGGAGAGGATGCGCAATTTGAAAATCATTTTCATGATCAAGCTACTCGATTACTACAAGAGTTCTCATTGCGGTTTTCCAATGCGATTGGTGCGATTCACAGTTTCGATGTCGCCATTATTTCGCACGTGCACAGCATGAATTTGCAATGGCCCTTTGCTTTGGTTCCAGAATTTGATATAAGGGCGGAGAGTATACTGGCCATTAGCAATGCCAAGTTTCTCACCTTTTTGGTGAAGGTTACGGCAGAAGCTGACAGGGGCCGGGAACGCCCAAACTTTGAAGCCTACGTGCAAAACCACAGCGATTGGGTGGAGCAGGCCTATGATCGATTGCCAGCATTTACTGCTGCAACAAATCATCATAATCGTCGACAGTTGCAGGGGGGAGCGGATGGAAGCCAGGGAAATCTTTTACCATCCTTGAATATGACACTGGGTACTGACAATGAGGATACTACTAATACTACTGCTGCTACGGGAAGCAACAGTACAAACAAAAATTCATCGGGAATGGTGGATACACCAACAACGAATTCCACACATGGGGGAGTCTTCCCAACACTCTTTACATTTGAAGAAGACAACAAACGAACGATCGCGTTTACAAAACCAGAATACCATCCAGTTTTTCAATGTCATCCTGTGGCACCCAATCTCATCAATTACAATCTAGAGAGCCATACCTTGTTTGGAGCCGAAATTGCACGATCTAGTAGCACTCGAAGCATTGTGGTGGGTCAAATGGTCTTGCCCGAGGAGGAGGTCGCACGCAGTACTACTAGCAGCAGTGGTGACAATAATGATGGTAGCACTATCGGCACCAACACCAACAATGCCATCATTCCATCCAACAGCGACAACAACGATGGCAATATCTATGATCACTCTACAAGCTCTCCAATGACCCAAGGCAACAACAACAACAACAATCGAAAGCTTGAAACAGTACAAGGCAGTTCCACCAGTGGCTTGTATTCACGTTCTGATCCCTACATTGAGTTCATTCATCAACAACAGCCCGATTCTGGACCCTTTAGTCAAGTCATTCTTCCCATTTTTGAAGATTTTTGGGGCGAAACCTCCATTGTGGGATTTGTAGCCGGGTATTTCTTTTGGTCGGATTTTATTGCGGACCAGTTGCCGGATACGGTCACTCAAGTCATTGGTGTACTGGAAAATGAATGTGGTCAAGTGGTGTCCTTTGAAGTGAACTCCAATAAAAAGGCGACGTACTTGGGTGAAGGTGACTTTCACAATCCTTCCTATGATGATTTGGAAACATCCTTCCGCATGCAAGATATTTGGAATGACGGAACCAAAGAGGGAATCTTTTCAACCGACAAGAATAATATGCTTCGAATGGATTTGGGATACTGTCCCTATACGATCAAGATTTATCCATCTCAAGTCATGGACGATAGTTTTGATTCCAATCGACCATACCTGTACATGTTCTTGGTCATGGGCATGTTTATTGTCACCTGCTGTACATTCTTTGGATACGACTTTTTGCACGAACGACGCAACAAGGTGGTCATGACCACCGCCCGGCAGACGCAAAAGATTGTCTCGTCGCTTTTTCCAGCAGTTGTTCGAGATCGACTACTTGAAGATGTGGGGGAAGTCTTTCAGCGGGGATCAGTGGTTCCATCCACACCTCGGGTGATGCTACGAAGCTATTTGAATGAGGGAGAGGAAGCAGAGATTGAAGATAACAAACCGATAGCAGATTTATTTCCTGCAACAACCATCATGTTTGCCGATATTGCGGGCTTTACAGCCTGGAGTTCTTTGCGGGAACCAGCACAAGTCTTTACTCTACTAGAGACGATATATGGACAATTTGATCAGATGGCGAAGAGGCAACAAGTGTTCAAGGTGGAAACCATTGGTACGACTGACGTAGCAACTTTTTGCTGTCCGTGGTGGATAAATCACTAACGATTTGGCTTGCTTGTTTTGTTTTGCTAGGCGATTGCTATGTGGCAGTGACTGGGCTACCAGATCCACAACCAGACCACGCGGTAATCATGGCTGTAAGTCTCTTCTTGACTTATCTTACTTTTATGTCATCCAATGCTGCTGTTGTATCCGACTCACTCTTCTCTACCAATGCTTGCGTTTGTTGACTTTAGAAATTCGCGAATCATTGTCTCACAAAGTTTGCGGCTACAGTTAAGAATCTCGAAAAAACTCTTGGTCCCGATACATCCGATCTTGGGCTTCGGATCGGATTACACAGTGGCCCTGTCACTGCTGGAGTGCTGCGTGGTGAAAAATCCCGTTTTCAATTGTTTGGAGACACTATGAACACGGCTGTAAGTTGGACTTATTGACTTTTTGTCTGTTAGACAAAGTGCTAACACCCAATTGCCTCGTCAGTCTCGAATGGAATCCACTTCGAAATCTGGAAGGATTCAGTGCTCTGAAGCCACTGCGAAACTACTCAAAGATGCACGCTCTGGTAATGTCTTGATTCCGCGGTCCACGACGGTCGACATCAAGGGCAAAGGGTTGAAACAGACATACTGGATCAAGCTAACAAGGTCGCCCGAAGATGGAACACCCGTTTTTCGAAAGAGCTTATCGGAACCGCTCATAATGCGAACAGTGGAGATTCCAATCGTTTCAGATCAAGTGCTTTCCAAGTATATCCCGCATCCCAGCAAAATTGAGGACACACTGAGGGAGAATCAAAGATTAATTGACTGGCATGTTGAGATGTTGTCAAGATTGCTAAAACAAGTTGTCGGAAGCCGCAAAAGGAAGGATCGTATACAGCAGCGCCGAAGGTCCACTTCTATGAGTTTTCGGTCGCCATTCCTTGCAACGCCCATGAGTGAATTGACCGAGATTGTGGAGATGCCCAAATTTGACAAGAAGAAAGCTAAAAAAGTTGCGCATTGGTCGACCACCGAGGTTCCCCTCGATGTCCAGCAGCAACTGAGAGTGTATATCTCCACGTTGGCGTGTATGTACAAAGGAGACAATCCATTTCACAACTTTGCTCATGCATCCCATGTTACAATGGCTTCGAACAAACTGTTGAGCCGAGTGGTAACACCAGACGATAGTCTTTACGGGGACACCAAACGGGTACAGAAGGGATTTCATATGCGGCTTCATGACTACACATATGGTTTGACGTCCGATCCTACTACGCAATTCGCTATCGTGTTCTCGGCATTGGTTCATGATGTCGATCATCGAGGTGTTTCCAATTCACAACTTGTTAAGGAAGAAACAGAAGAAGCACTGAAGTATTCTGGAAAAAGTGTAGCCGAGCAACACTCGATTGACATCGCTTGGCAGGTTCTGATGGACCCTTCACTGGAGAGACTGAGACAGTGCCTGTACTCCAGCGATGAGGAGTATCAACGATTCCGACAACTGGTTGTCAACTGTGTCATTGCTACAGATATTTTCGATAAGGGATTGAAAGATCTCCGAAATAAGCGATGGGAAATGGCATTTCATCAGCATCAAGATGATACGACGCTTGACGAGGATGGCGAGGATGATGAAGATGAAAACTTCAATCGAAGGGCAACAATTGTCATTGAACATATTATTCAAGCTGCCGACGTGTCCCATACCATGCAACACTGGCTTGTGTACCAAAAGTGGAATGAGCGATTGTTTCAGGAAATGTATCAAGCATATGTTTCTGGCCGAGGAGGCGAGAAAGACCCAAGCATCGGGTGGTATAATGGGGAACTTTGGTTTTTCGATAATTATGTTATTCCGCTTGCCAAAAAGCTAGAAGAGTGCGGTGTCTTCGGGGTCAGTAGTGCGGAATGCTTGGACTACGCATTGGAAAATCGAGAGCAATGGCAAAAGAAAGGGGAAGAAATTGTTGAGGGCCTACGAAAGAAGTATTGTGGGAAACGACACGACTTGAAAGTTCAAACGAGCGAATCATCTCTAAAGATAGTTTAAATCTGCAAACTTTAAAAGGTGGTTTCACCGAACCATGCAACGTTTCACTGCCGATTTCTAGCAAAGCCATCTAAGACACGTTCTCATTGAACCTATTACTCCGATTCTGAGGTATACTTCTGGATATACGCGGCGACGAGTTCCTTTCCCTTCTTTTCCCACTCTTTTCGATTCTCGAGCGCAAACTTCAAGAGCTCATTGCCAGCCGCACCGAAGACTTGGCAGTCTTCCAACTTTTTGGCAAGTGGGATGATATAGTTGTCAAAGAACGAGAGTTCCCCTTGAAACCAGCCAGTTGATGGATTGAATCCAAGTCTGCCCACTTGCCAGGCAGAATACATCTCGGCGAAGAGGTGCTCGTTCCACTTCTTATAAACATGCCAATGTTGCATTGTATGCGAGACATCTGATGCTTGCATGATGTACTCAATCACAATCGTAGCTTTCAGATTAAGCTCGTTCTCTGTAGTCAGTGAAGTCCCCTCTGACTCCATGTGAAATGCCTTGGAAAAACGAGAATTTCGAAGAGCTTTCATGTCCGAGTCAAAGATGTCGGTCGCAAGAATGACATTGACAATCAACTGACGAAATCGTTGGAGCTCAGACTTCGTTGAGAAGATACATGGCCGGAAATCCTTATAACTTGGTTCCATGAGAAGTTCCCAAGCAAGATCCAAAGAGTTCTGCTCAGCAACGCTTTTGTTGTTGTACAACGACGCAATGTGGGCACTTTCCTTGACTAATTGTGAGTTTGTGACACCAGTGTGGTCCACATCATGGATCAGTGCCGCAAAGACGATTGCAAATTGTGTCAATGGATCGGATGAAATCGCGCAAGTATAGTCAATTCGTAACAAGAGTTGGTCAGTAGCAATCACTCGGTTCAGCAACTTGAGGGAGTTCATCAGAACGTGACTAGCGTGTTCGAAATTGTGGAAGGCATTGCTGCGGTACATGCAAGCAATGGTGGTTACATATTCCTTCAGTTGGCGTTCCGCATTCGGAGGCAGTTCGATACCGTGGATATCGATATTAGTAAGCTTTTCGACATCCATCCAATTCTCTTTTGACATGTCCTCTTCAGAAAGAAGGGGGATGATCTCCCGAACCTCTTCCAAGTACTTGGGTTCCGAGTAGCTCCTCGGGTCTACATCTTCGCAGCACTGATTAGAGCACTGGGTCTGCCTTACTGCTACGATCTTCTTCAGAAGCTTCGATAAGATTTCGGAATTCCAATCAATCAATCTGTGAGTCAGAAAGAAGCAAGAAAATTGTGAGAAAACCAAAGAAAAGACTTCCGACTTGGAATACTAGTCTTACCGCAATTGTCGTCCAACATCTGAGAATTCTCCAGATATGGCCTCCTCCAAGGCCAATTGCTCTCTCACCGAGTCGTACTTTTCATTGACTTGATTCCACTTGTTATTGGAATGAATCGATGCACTGAGTTTATCCCGACGTTCGTTCAATTTATCGCTGATGTGGCTAGGCTCATCTCGATTGGGCTGGAACGACAAGCCCCGTATCAAGACTGACTTGCTTTTGCTCTTGAGCTCAATCAAGGTCGAGGTGCTACCAGCTTTGTTGAGATTGAAATCACTGTTGCTATCACCAGTAGATGAATCGACTACTGACCTTGCCGAAGTAGAAGGTCGATCGAGCCAGAATGTTCTGACGTCTCCTTTCCCCTTGGCATAAACCAAATCACCTCGAGGGTACAACCAACTTTCCAATCCAGCTGCATTGAGATGGTTGGCAGTTGCCTGAGACACTTGAATCCGATTCTTTCGGCCTGTGCTTTCCATTCGAGACTGCAAGGAAGAGTAAGCGTTGGCAAGCCATGAAAAAGGGAGCGAACCGAACAATAAATCAGATAGTATTCTCTCACCGCAAAGTTGACAGTGTCTCCAAAGAGCTGAAAACGGGACTTTGCTCCTCGCAAGACACCAGCGGTCACAGGTCCACTAGGGATTCCAAAGCGCATTCGCAATTCAGCAGTCCCCGGTCCCAAGACGAGTTCCAATTTGCGGGTTAAGTTGTTCATCTGGGTCAAGCATTCGTGGGCAAACCTGGCCATAGCCACAGCATGATCATCTCTTCGTTCAGGCTGCACAATGTTAAAACAATTGAGTGAGTGAGAATAGTGTTAGATGTGACTTCAAGATGATGAGAATCAAATCCATATCGGAACTTACCAAGCCAGTCACGGCGACGTAGCAATCACCTATTGTCTCCACCTTGAACACATTGTACTCATTTGCCAACTTGTCGAAGCAGTGAAAGATGGTCTCTAGTAGTCGAAAGACTTGCGCAGGTTCTCGTTCCGAACTCCAAGCCGTAAATCCCGCAATGTCGGCAAACATGACCGATACCATGGGGAATAAATCGGCAATTGGTTCATTCTTGACGCATTTTATCTTTTCACTTACACCAGAAACCAGTTGGGGAGGACTTAGAAACATTTGCAATTTCTGTGAGGGTGTTCCGGACCTTTTGCTTCTTTCACTGCCACCCGATTTCTTGGATTCTAGGACTTTATTGGCGAGTTCCACCTCCTCAACGAGATCAAAAGACTCCAGCGTATCCACTTGCGGTGGCGGCGGTGGAGCCTCGCAGTGAAAAGACGAAGCCGATTCTTCCATGGTGAGTTCTAGTTGAACTCTCTCGGGCGTAGACTTGTGGGTTGTCTTGGGAGTCAGCATCATGTCATCCAAACGAACCGAAGGCTCACTATGCATCTGAAAGAGACGCTCTTGAACATTGGCTGGAAAGAGAGATGAGACGATTTCTTGAGCTTGATGAAAGTTGTTGGACAAACGCTCAATTTGCTTGCGAAGAAAATAGTCGTGGCAGATAATGAAAGCAGTGAGGATCGCTGCAAAAATGAAGAAGCTGGCCATGGCGATATCCGATTGATTGGTGGAGAAATGGCTCACTGTTTCTTTGGTAGGATAGATAGCAGCAATATTCTCGCACTGAGAAATGAGATCTGATCCTTTGGTGTACTTTGGAAGCCCAAAGCATTGGCCATAGTCCGAAAGATCGGGATTGTGCAACTCTCCAATTCCTAGAAACGCTGCCTTAGTTTGACCGACTTGAAATGTCAAAGCATTCTCTTTGCATGAATTGTTCATAACTACAATCATTGGTGTAACAATCGGGCTTTGGTCAAAGACACTTTCCCAAATAATTCCGGAATGACCCACCGTCTCTTTTAATCTTGCCTGCCACAAGGCTGACAAAAGCTTTGCTTGGTTCTCGAATACCTTTTCACGTAAGCGGGTTTCGGCCTGTTCAGTTGCAAGCTTGAGAAAGACACCAATTGCGATCGAGATAAGGACGATTAGTCCTGGAGCCAACAGCTGTTTGTACGAGTATGCTTTTGCCTGTTGAAAGCTTTCGGAAATGGCTTTCTTCAATGTGGTAGTGGAAGGGGCTGAAGTAGAGGCCTCTTCTTCTTCTCCTCCTTCTTCTTCTTGAAAGGCAAAAATCGGAGAATCAGTCTGAGTGAGCGATAGAGAGCTATCGTCGTCGCCCACCGGTGGAGTTGAAACGCTGGTACGGGCGGAAGTCAACTCTCTTCGATCCACACCAAATCCTGGTTCCTTCGAAGGTAGAAGAGACGGCGGAGGTGATGGCTCGAGAAAGCCCCGATTCAGGCATTGGGACTCCTCATCAGTATCTAACAGGTCATGGTTCGAAATCTTGCCCAATAATCGCATCGTTAGACGTTGTGGCTGACGAGACGATGTGATTTTGTGATTTCGTGCGGATTTTGTGAACATGAAGTTGGTGGGATTTTCCCAAATCCCGCTTTTTGTTTGACCAATTTCAAATTGGACCACATCATATATCATATAACTGATGCGACGGCATTTCATATTTTCCTTCCATTACCATAGCTACTTCAAAGACTCATCATTCTCAACCGAGAAAGAGCTCCATCGTTGGGCCTCGTCAGAATGAGAATGATCATGCAAATCGCATCTCGCGTCAGCATATATATGTGTTTGGCTGAATTAGAAGTCAGAAACCTGCTGTACCTGCGCATACCGGTACACGGATTTTGCCCAAATCTGCATTGCGACATGAAACAGACACAGAGCAGATCAATATCCAGTTTCAAGAGACAAATCTGATGGATGCATCCGCAACGCGCTTGTTTCAAGATTTTGAACCGATGCATTAGAAATCATTGATTTCAATGTCCATCATAACCCTTGACATGAATCTTTCTTGCATTCCGAAAAATCATCGAACCAAGGCCAACAACAACCAGGACGACGATAGACCTTGATTTTAAAAAAGGAAGGGCCCTCCTACCCATACCGGTATATGTGACTGAGGAGCGAAGACAGAAAGCGGATGTCATGCGACATTAGATGACAAATGACTAATACCGGTACTACTCCTACCGGTACAGTACTGTAAGTGCCCACTCCAGCTTGAATTGACACCGCATCTGGGAACTCTGCGTTCGCTGCGCTATTTTATTTACTCGCCGGCGGGAACCAAATTATCAATCTGCGTGATAATATATTTAAAAGTGATTAGGAAAGCTGTAGAGCACCATCGAAATATTTAGCAATCACAACATATATTGGTTTCGTCTCACTGGAAAGTGATCTACATATTTCACCTTTGTCAGAAACCGAAAGAAGGTATGGAACAACTTTAAAAGCAGAAATGTTCGACTTGTACTCTTGGAATTTAAAAAGTGCCTAAAAACGTTGCACTGGTAGTGCTTTACTTTCGCAAATTCCCGTTTCGCCCAGAAGTTGAATCGCCACGCGTCTTTTGTCCATGTTTGTTAAGAATTTTCTTGACTTGAGCCTATGGTTTTATGATGCGCATGCTTGTGTCCTTTTTGAAGCTCATTTTCCAGGAGACAAATTTTGCTACCTACAGCTCGCTCTGATTTATCCACTTTTCTTCTCAATGCATTTGCGATGTCGCAAGTCAATGAAGTGATCGACCTTCTTCAGCCCGATGATTTGACACTGCTATTGAGTGAGGACAACGACATGGCCAGTATCATTGATTTCCAGGGCCATTCTGCAGCCGAAACGTCCAAGCGTTGCAGTACGATCGACATCGACACCAGCACTCTCGTCCCTGTTTTCGGCGATGACGAAAGCATCTCTGACACAAGTATCTTTTCCCATTTTAGTTTTGATCCTGTGGATGAAGAGCCTTTCACCAAAACAAGCGAGAATGCGCCGCCTCCTACGGAAAAAATGATATCCAAGCTCAATTCCATGATGATGCGATCTGCTCTGAGCAGAGCAATCGTCTCAAAAACCGTCTACCCAGACTTGAAGAAGAATAAGACAAGGAAAATTTCTTTTGACTATTCGTCGTCTTCGACCAAGTCAAGTTATCACAAAGCAAGCCCCAGATCAGCTTCCAAGCATACACGACGAACTAATGACAAGATCTCCACAGACTCGGTGCGGCTTGGCTCAAGACAAGACAGCTCAATCGGAGGATTTCTTCGAGCATCGAAGAAGTGGTAGGCACCAACAATGTTCTTGGGAAAGCGTCACATGCGGTTCCTTGCAAATCAGTACTGAAGTAGGGCCACCAGCCAAACACGGTAAAGAAGACGAATCGTATTGAGTAGTTTGTTAAGATTTCTAAATATTGAAGGATATTTGACTCAAACGTTAAGCTCTCAAGATTGTCCGTCCTCATCTTCACTCTTTTCTTTTGTATTTTCGTGGGATCATTTCGAAACATCATCGAAGAGATTGCCAGTTCAACAATACCTATGATGGACCCTACCGCCTACCATCATACCTTTTTTAAGTAAAAAACGGAAGAAGAAATCCACATCAGGCTTACACGTACAGATCACTTGGGAAGACAAGCGCGACGCCGGGTCTGGGGTGGGAAAGCGAATTTCCAGTTTTCGTTCCTGTTTTTAGTAGTTATTTTATGCTGGAAATGTGAACGAAAAGTGAACGAAACTATCGAGATATTTAGCCTCCATAGAGTGCTTCACTGGAAAAGGTTCTGCACATTTCACCCGCCAGAAACTTTGGTGGTCTTGAGCAGAAATTTGTTGCGTAGCGACAGATGATAGTATTACTCGCCTACTGTGCAACATTGGCATTCAATCGTTTTTTCGCCTAGAAGTTATGGCAATTTTCTTGTCTAGTGCCTACTTATGGTGCGAATGATTTTTGTCCTTTCCCATATTTGAGCTCATTTTTCAGGAACGATAAATTGTGTCAAACATCTCGTTCTGATTCCATTTTTCGTCCTAACACATAAAAACCATGCCTCGATTCAACGAAGAGATTGCCCTTGAGCCCGATGAGGACCTTTTTGCCACTATCATTGATTTCCAGAGCAACGCTGAAATCAACGCATCCAAGCCGTGCAGCACACCAGCCCCCGTTTCGAACGATGACGAAAGCATCTCTGACACAAGTACTTTTTCTGCTTTGAGTTTCCTGGATCCTGCGGGTGAAGAGGAGCTATCGATCGAAGATAGTGGTGATAGCCCGCCTCCCGTTGAACACATGTTATCCAAGCTCAATTCCATGATGATGCGATCTAATCTAAGCAGAGCAATCATTTCAAAGAACGTCTTCCCAGACTTCAGCATCAAGGAAACGAAAATATCTTTTGATTATTATCCTCCCAATTCTCCTACCGGTACGACCAAGTCAAATTTCCACAAAGCTAGTCCATCAGCTTCAAAACATACGCGACGGACTCACGACAAGATCTCAACAGATTTTGTACGGCTTGGCTCAAGACAAGATAGCTCGATCGGGGAGTTCCTTCGAGCGTCGAAGAAATGGTAGGTATTCCGTTTTGTGTGAAAAATCTTAAGCAACAATCATGTTCTTCGGAAAGCATCAGATGCGCTTCCTTTCTGGTCGATAATGGAGTAGGGCAACACGGTAAAGGCGAAAGGCATTGCACTGTTCATTGACACATGTAAAACATCCATAGAGAGATATTTGACTCAACCGTTACGCTCTCGCGATTCTTCGTCTTCATCTTCGCTATCGGAGCTTTCCGTAACGTTTAGTGGGGCAGTTAAATCCTCATTGGATGCAACGCCGATCATCTCAATACTCTTGAACGGAAACTCCAGGTCTAGTAATTGAATCAATGATTGACCATTAAAGGCATCCATGATGCGACTAATAAGTCGCACATCCAATTCGTCTTTTTTAATGTACACGCGGATCGTCTCTCTCACCTTGAAACATGGTTCAGGAACTCCAATCTTACAAGGGCGATTGGTTTGAAGTCTCGCATCCAGGAATTGGGCATTGGCTACTAGATAATCACCTGGTGCTAGATTGCGATAGCCTTGATTTCTAGCAGCACTTTCTTGGAAACTCATTGCCCGCAATCGACGTTGATTCGAATTGTCGCATTGAGCCAATGTGGGGGCAACTTTCGCTTGCATACGGGTGACCAAGGTGTTCAAGTGACTGGGAATATCGGTAGCGCCCCAAGGTACCATCGCAATGTCCAATTCGATGTGATAAGTTTTGAGGATCAATTGATCTTGAGCTGTCACCACATCACCTGTAATGATTCGCAAACATTCAGCTGGTGATGGGGGCAAGAAGACCAAAGGTTCCTCAGTTGGTGGTGCGGAGGGGGGGCTTGTAGGTGCAAAGGGAGAAGCCGTGCCATTCGAGGTAGAGGGAAGAAGCTCTGTGTCCGTCTCATTTGTGCCACCCTTGCTCATCAGAAGCATGGTAATACCAACGGCGAAAGCAACAATGGTGATGAGCAATATTGAAAAAATTGCCAATAAACGCCGGTCATGCGAAATGAAAGAGCTAGATGTTCTCAAAACACCTGCTTTTACGGCTTCTGCAACAACTGTTAGATCTTTGTCGGCAGCAGAGGATGTTGGTAGCTCCGCATCTTGTATCTCTTCTTCTTGTTCGTCTACCAAATCGGCTTGGAAAATGGGCGCTTCTTCGTTGGCATCATTGCCGGCCATACCGGTAGGAGTAGAAGGAGCCGGTCTTCTGACGCCTGTAACACGTACGGCACCTGGCCGGGATGCCGATGTTTCCTGCGATTGGTTGCGATCCAACATTTCTGGTTTCGGCGTTTTGTCTGTTGCTGCTGCTTCTTTTGAATCTTTTGTTGATGTCGTATCCTTCGTGAGAATTCGTTGGCTGCCGCCTTCCACATCCTGATCCTGTGATACCAAGCTTCCTGCTTGTGATTGTGCAGAGCTTGCATTAAGAATACTGTTTTCCCGAACGGATTTCTCCTTCTCGTATTCGTTTTGTGATGTAGTCAGCATCCTTGCATTCGCTGGTCTCGTAGCGCTCTTGGTTTCACGGGACGACTCGTTCATTTCGTTTGATGCCTGTTGTGGCTTTTGTTATCCTTGAGTTTGTGCTTTCTGTCTTCGTCTGGCGCAAAACTTCCGAAACTCGATTTGCGGTTTTGCATGTAAACAGTTCGACAGAAATATATTTATTTTTGCACGGCATTATTTGAAAGCTCTTACTTATGGCTCTTTATAGCTAACCTTAAACACAATGTCACACTCTTGTTGTACCCGCCGCGGTGAGTTGGTAGTTTCACCGGGGTATCTCCGTTTCACACGACTGACCAAAAGAAGCGGCCTTCAAAAGCAGGTTGGACCGTCTAAAAAGCCATGATGATATAGAAATCATACATCTACCAAGCGTATGTATGGTATGAATTACCCCACGCAACAACAATACCGGTACGGTATATTACTATTAATATTTTTTATGTATATTGTATTTTTTAAAATATGTACACTGTTTTTATACATTTTTAATCCTCATCATCAGGACTATCAAGAGTAGTATCGTTTGTATCCGTACTACCAGTAGTAACACTCGATGTAACACCAATCATATCGATACTCTTGAATGGGTACCCCAAGTCCAATAAGCGCACCAAGGGTTCTCCGTCAAAGGCATCCATAATGAGACTGATGAGTCGGACGTCTAGTTCCGCTTGCGTAATGTGCAAATCGATCGTTTCAATCACTTTATAGCAAGGTTCGAGAGCTCCAACCTTGCAAGACCGGTTGCTTGGAATTGTGGCACTGAAGAATTTGGCATTGGCCACCAGATACTCGTTTGCAAGTTTGCGGTAACTTCTTGTTGTTGTTGTTGTTGTTGTTGTTGTTGTTGTTGTTGAGGTACCCTGTATTCTAGTACTATTGCCTCGGAGTCGTCGACGTCGATTCAAAGTGTCGTCACATTGGGCCAATTTCGGTGCCAGTGTTGCTTGCATGCGGTTGACCAAAGTGGTCAGGTTATCCATCAAATTGGTTGGATTGGATTCCATGGCAATATCCAACTCAATTTGGTACGTCTTTAGGATCATTTGGTCTTGATTTGCTACCTCAGTTCCGGCTTCTATTTGCTGACATTGAGCTGCAGAAGGCGCCAAGAATTCCATGGCTTCTGTTGGTGCTGAGGATGGAGGCAGTGTCGTCGCGGTAGGAGCTGGAGTGGCAGGTACATATTCCACCGTAGTGGTGTTTGTCGTTTCCTTGTTGTGGTTCATTATCACCAAGGAAATTCCAATCGCAAAGGATACAATGGTAACGATTAGAGTGATGAGGATTGCCAGTAGCCGTCGATCTTTCAAAATTATTGCGCAACATGATCTGCTCTTGGATTCTCCATCTTTCATGGGTTCCGCACGTACTGGTAAAGCTGCATTTGGGGATGATGGTTGTTCTTGTTCATCATTCACCACACTGGCTTGGAGAATGGGTGCGGATGATTTAGTTGGCGCCGATTGCAAAGTCGATTCCGTGCCAAGATGAGTATTCGTTTCAGCCTGAAAGCCAGGAACATGAATGGCACCAGGTTTGGAGCGATTGGTAGGCGGTGGAGGTGGCGGTGTTCCCTGAGAGGTGTTACGTGCCATCTTGGGTCCCAATCCGAAATCAGAAGAATCAGCAGATTCGGGTTGATGGACCTTTGATGACGACAACAACGACATGTCTGTGGCATATTGCTGTGCTAGTCTGAACCATGGAAGATTCTTCTTCGATGGTCTCTCATTACAAAGCGGGTGGTCATCGCCGTCATCCAATAGTAGACTTTCTCTATTGACTCGATATTGTTGCTGTTGTAGATATTGGGATTGTGGTGTGTTCAGAAAGGATAAGCTTATTGTGTTGTCATCACACTCGTCGCTGTTCAGCAAAGTGGAGTCATTTTTGAATGTTAAATGAGCGATGTCTTTCATCTTTTAGCTCTCACTTGGTATCGATGTGGAGGTGGTAAGAGAAATGAAGATTTATTTGATGAAGATTCATCTTGACTGGATACGGTTTCTTGCTTGACAAGAGATACTATATAGTCGCTTCACATGAGATACTAGTCGTGGGTGCGAGATGTCTTGGTTTCGCTCATTTGCTCTATTTCTCCAATTACTCACGAAAGAACGTGATCACATTTTCCGGGGTACGGTCAGACCAGGAATTCCTGGGAATTTCCGACTGACGTAATCATACAGTACAGTGCAGGTTTCGATGTTCCGACTCGGATCTTTGTTGTTGTGACCATCACCTCCGAAGCAGCATAGAACAGTAGGCTCACAAAAACAGTTTCCACTGCACGAAAGTCAAGCAACTAATCACGCAAACACTCCAAGAGAGACAAACAGAGCCACATACAGCAAGAGAGAAACGATGTATTCGTCAACAATTGCATCGTCTTTTACAACGAGTCCAAGATTTGGAATGACCGCCATGATTCGCACCTTTGCAACGATGCAAAAGAAGCGGCCCCGTGTAGTCATTCTTGGTTCTGGATGGGGTGGTAATACTCTCGCAAGGCGTATCAATAAGGACATCTATGATGTACGATTGATTTCTCCAGGTACATAAATTTCGTCGTTCCAATATTTTGGATTGTGGTCACATACTACATACACCCAACTAAACTGTCAATGTTGCTGCTGCCCAATGTGAAGCAAACCATTTTCTGTTCACGCCACTCCTTCCGAGTACGGCTGTTGGGACGTTGGAATTCCGTGCCATTCAAGAACCAGTCCGAACGATTAAAGGATTGGGAGAGTATTATCAAGCCAAAGCCAAGGCACTTGACACGGAAAACCAAGTCGTCAAGTGTCAAGATTTATTCAAGGGCCATGAATTCGATGTCAAATATGACTACTTGTGCATATCGGCGGGAAACAAAACCAATACTTTCAATACTCCAGGAATTTCCGAACGAGAAGGAAAGGAAGTGTTCTTCCTCAAACATTTGTATCATGCCCGTAAAATACGAAACCGCATCTTGGAATGCTTCGAAAGGGCTTCCAACCCAAAGATTAATCCAGAAGAACGCGATCGACTCCTGTCTTTTATTGTGGTCGGTGGTGGACCCACCAGTTGTGAATTCACGACCGAATTGTACGACTTTTTACAGGAGGATGTTGCCAAGTGGTATCCCGAACTGGTCAAGCACGTCAAATTGACTCTGGTGGAGGCTGGTCCTGGATTGTTGGGGTCGTTTCACAAGTCCTTGGCGGATTACTATTTGGAAAAACTTCGACAAAAGAACATTGATGTAAAACTCAGCATGGCCGTGACTGGAGTCGAAGAACGATGGTACTCGTCGGAAGTTGCTGGCGGTCAAGCGGGCACGGAACATGCTGAAGGCGAAAAGGGTCACTACACGGTAGCTTCCTTTGCGGATGGCACTGAATTGCCCTTTGGTGCCATGCTCTGGTCCGCCGGTCTTGCTCCCGTCAAGTTTGTTGAAGAGTCTGGTCTAAAATTAGATCGAGGCAAGGTTGTTGTTGATAGATACTTGCGTGTACCAGGCCAAAATGGCCGGATCATGGCGTTGGGTGATTGTGCTGTCCCTGCAGAAGGCGAGGGCACTCCGCTGCCACCCACAGCATCCGTGGCCGAACAGCAGGCCTACTACATTGGAGATTGTTTGAATCTCTACAACAAAGATTTCGATGTGACGAACAGGGATCAAGAGGTTCCCATACCAGGTCCTATTGCGCCAGCACTGATGCCCTGGCAATCAGCCGAGTTTTTGAACAAGATATTGGTCAAGGCTGCACCAGAGTTTCAATACAAGAATCGAGGTGCCATGGCGGCCATGGGCTTTGGAGGGGGCGTTTCCGACTTGACTAAGACTGATTTGCCCGCCCCCAAGGTTGCCACCTCGGGTGCGGCAGCTTTTTTCATGTGGCGGTCGGCCTACTGGACCAAGCAGCTTAGTTGGAGCAACATGATTTTGATTCCTATGTACTGGTTTAAGCAAATGGTCTTCGGTCGAGACATTAGTCGGTTTTAGTAGTAGTAGTAAATTGTAAATGTATCTAGACGTATCAATGTAAAGGGGCTTTTTTTTCATTCAACTCTGTTTTTCAATCTCTTGTGGTATGCAGCCATAGGAAGGATACTGCATCATGACCCTATCATCCAAAGTTGAAGATTTACACGCTCAAACACTCCTTGATGCGACCGGAGATGTGGCAGCAGGACCTCCAATGGTTCGTATCGCTCGAGCAGCACAGCGGACCAAGATGGCGGCAGAAAGAATGCTACAGGCAGGGGGCTATTGTGGAAGAGGAGCTCGGAAAGCATGTAGCCTTTGGAGCTAGAGTGACAGCCGATGTAGTTGGTGACGCAAAGAATGTGGTGTTGGAACCCCCAGCATGGCTTGGGCCAGCTACGTCTGCTGCTCTCGCTACTTCTCTAGAGGCAGCTCTTGCCCCAGCAAACGATCAATTGGACAATATCGAAAGTCGGTTGGGCAATATTGAAGCTAGACAGAACAATGCCGTTGCCAATGAGTACGCTGATACTTTGAAGCCACTTTTGAATGCTGATGGAGGTATCTATTCGATTTTCGATTCAATACCATCATACTTCCCTATTACTTCAAGGTGTGGAAACTTGTTGAAATCAAGACACATGCTTCCTTTACAGAACTCCGTGGATTGAAATTTGGTCTTCGAGATGATGATGGTCCAGGTAGTCGAATTCAATGCATTCGCACTGCGGCCCCACGTTGCGTGCCGTCATCGCGCATCTATTGGTATTATTGTCACTATGATACCAATCAACTGAATAATATGAAAGTAAGCACCTGCGACTATAGTGCAGTGTGACAAGCATATGATTTAGAAGAAGAAGAAAAAGGGCTTGTCATATGTTCCTCTACGTGATATGAAAGTGGAAGCGTCCCTTTGAGGCACAAGATCAAAAATCCCGTGATGGGAAGCAGACGAGTTCCACCAAAACGAAGGTCCTGTAGTCGGTTGCTCATTCCTTTGGTTACAATTCTGACACTCTTGGCAGCTTGTTTGCAAATCAGGATGATATTTACGACGGCGGAGGACAAGACTGGAGTGCTGTCCGAAAACACAATTCGCGGACGAACGAAGGTTGTCCTTTCATCATCGTCACTGGTTTCGACTTTTGACAGCGGCACCAAAGTCAATCATGCAGAAGCACAGTTACAATACGATCGAGGAATGGACCCCACAATTAAAGCGTCTCGGAATGTAGGAGACACTGTCGGGGAGACCACTACCAGGGAGGGAAATAGGAGTACCTCGGAGATGACATTCGCAACGATACTGCCACGGCAAAACAAGGATACGATCATTCAGGCTCGAGAAGTTCTTCCATTGTGTGAATTTGAAACTGTCAACAATACCTGTGCTTGGACATTTGCCAAGAATACCAGTATTTTATTTGATTGCAAACAAAACCCATTCCTTCCGAAATGTGAATTGAATTGTTTTGATGCGCCAACGCAGGAACATCCTGCAGCGTCGTTTGCTGCATTGGCAAACGAAGAGAAACATAATAATCAATTTTCGAATGCAGAAGAAGTGTTTGAAATCTTTTCAGCTGCGGGTGACAAGCTCCAGGGAAGTGACAAGCTGTGGCCTCCCCTTGGATGGGGAGGGAATTGGGTAGAGGACAAGAATTATTGCGAAGCAGCCAACAACACTGCCGGTGCCTGTCTATTTGGCAAGCATCGTTACGTTTTGAACGCAGATGGTGACATGGCTACCATTTGGACGAAGGATGAAGCTTGCCAACTCCTAAAGTCCAGGAATATCACTAAAATACAACTGATTGGAGATTCATTGATACGGCATTTGTCACAATCGCTAGTAATTATTTTGAAGGGCGACTATGATTTTCAATTTGGTCGCAAGGATTGTTTTGGAGACCGAGCGTTCTCCGAAAAGGGTTGCCGTGGTTTTGGTGTGACCAGTGCGTGCTATGACGATGAAGTCAAGAAAAGTGGTGGCATCTTGATCAAGTACGAAATAACAGAACCAGTGAATTGGAGAATTCCAGCACTCGAAACCGCCCATCACTTCCGGAGCAATCGAGGTAGTACTCTTTTCTTTTATGGCATTGGGAACCACCCAGCAACTGCCCAGCATGGCCTGAAAGAACGGTACGGTATTCTCAATGCAGCTGAATATTTGTTTCGACGATGGGGTCTACTGACGTCTAAGTTCTGGGGTCCCTCGAACCACCTGGTGTGGGTTCCACCTCATTACAAGTTGCGAATTGGCCGGACTGACGAAACCAACCAACGCGTCTACCAATTCCTGATTGGTTCGCACAATTACTTTCAATCTTTGGGCGCCAGAACCCTCAACACCTTTGACATGACTCGAACGATGGCGTCATTCTTCTCGTTTGACAATGCTTCCAAGAAGTTTTACTCTCGAGAAACCTGCAAAGCAACTGATGAGACCTGGGACGGCTTCCATTATAGCCGCACAGTCAATTTGTGGAAGGCGCATCTGGCACTGCAACAGTTCCAGTCATCACTTATGGAGTGAAAAGTATACTCGTTCTAAAACGGCTTGTTGTTGGTGCGAGTCTCTGCCATTGAGTAGGGAGGGAAAGAGACATGGGACATGGGTGTCAAGTTTAGTTGAGGTGGACCTTTCGAAGAATTCTTTTTTTGTTGGCGCCTACACCAATGGAGAAAATCAACAGAAGCAGCAGCGTCCATACATTGCCATTGCGTTTGCTGTCCACTGCCTCCAAGGGCAATCCGATATTTTGGTATACTTGGTCGCTGAGAACAACCGCATCCTTCTGCCGGAGAATGATACTAGAGTCGTCAGTCTTCGCCGCTTCAATCATTCTTCTCGGAAACCGCTTAAATTGACGAACCATTTGGCCAGGCTTCTTGAATGGATGCATAGTCACAACACGATGCAAGTCATCTCTGTGTACAAAATCCTCATCACCAAAATAGTTGTTCGCAAACACCCGATTTCGATGGTATTCTTCGTCATTGTCAAAGCAGCCAATGCCTGTGGCTTTGGTGATGCAAATTGAAATGACAACATCCGAGTGCCATACGGCTTTCTTGTGCGGGGATCTGCTGATCTCATTGACACAATCGTCGAATCCACGAGATGCTTCTGCCAATGCCTCCTTTGACAGAATGTACCCAGGTCCACCGAGACAATAAGGCTTCTCCAGACCTGCGCTTCGGATTCCTTCTCGGTCTTTCTTCCTTCCAAATCCACGATCTCCCCAAAATTGATAAGCTTTTGAACTATTGTGGTGGTATGCCAAGAACCTTAGAAAACCATCAAAGTTGACATATGAGTCGTCATCAACTTTCATAATGTAGCCAATCTTTGCGTCACGTAAGGGTCCTTTTGGGCTTTGAACCATTCGATTGATAGTTTTTAACATATTCACATTCTTTCGGACTGGTGGATATTCATCATCGGCAACTTCTTGCATTACCACCAGCTGCTTCGAATCTTGAATGCCACCAAGGCGAAGCAATTCGCTTTCCGATACAGTTCCATTGCCAACAAAATAGCGGACGTGGATGTTGGGCAACAAATTGCTCGATTGACCCCAAGATTCACGAATAGCAGCAACTCGAGACTCCAAATTTTGACGCGAAGTGACCACTGCTAAAAAGACGTCCCCATCGTACCGGTTCCTACCAATTATGGCATTGAAGGCAGTCTCATTCTGGCTGCGAAGACCCCTTAGATGCTGCCCCATCTCCGGCTCTAATTTAGTCTGATCCTTTGGATTGAACCTTTGCACCAACCCGTAATCTTTCATTCGTACGACATTCAATCCTCCGCGCTGGCAAGAAACAAGTCCGTCTTCGAGTTCAGCAGGTGTTCCGCCCATCATCATTTTCGATCCATCAGCTCCCGATATCGCATATGCTTGGAAGGTATGATTCGACCATACGCCCCTGTGGTGATCGTGCGGATCCCTTAGCTTCAACCCTTGATGGGAGTAGTATTCCAATTCCAACTGGACCAATTCCGGATTATACTCTGACCAAACAATAGGAATATACGCCGAATGACTAGAGTGAACAAATTCAGTTGCATGGTAGAGAAAACTTGGTGACACTGAGTGTCCGACATCGACTACAGCTATCATGCAGTCGGCTTCGGTGCACGTATTTTGATGCAAAAGAGATATGGCGTTGGCTCGAGAATATTTGGTGGTACTCTCTCCTGGCACATCCACAATGACCACTTCCTCTGGTTGCAGTCTTGTCAGATCTAAAACAAGCTTCCGCAGCTCAGTAACAGGTGCAGAAGCAATACCACTGCCGTATCGTGTCAAGAGGAGCCGGATGGCGAGGTTCCTTCCCTTTGGTAAAGACTTTGGTATGGTTCCAATGGTACTTCCAAGATGCTCACAGAACCTATCAAGCTCCTTCTCTTCCGTTGCGGATATTGGAAGCACAATATCTAGTCTTTTAAACTTGGAGTCATAAATCTTGTAATTGGTTGTCGCGAGTGTGTCAACTTTGGCCCTTCCGTCAAAGTATCCATGAACGGATCCTGTGCCATCGTTGGCAATGGCCGAATACCAGGCGCTTTTGGAACAGGACGAACACTTGTAAACATCGAGTTTACTCTTGCATTTGGGACAAGAAGTGTGGAATCGATCTTGAATCGCCTCAATGACAGATTTCTCCCTCTTGGATAACTTTTTGTCACCATGGACATTTCCAAAAGGCTCCAACTCGAACACAGATGATGATGATGATGATCCTGTCGAGGACACCCACGGCCTTTCCAATACTTGCGATGAAATTTGGACTTCCTTTCCTTGTCCTGGTTCCATCTCTTGTATCCCCTATCTACCTCAAAAGATCGGCTTCCATCTCATGTCTCTTTGTTTGTTGGATATTGCTGAGATGTATTATGATGGGTTGATGCGATGTATGTTTGTCTCTGCTGAAGAGCCGACTATTTCGAATTAAATGTATTACTCGAATGGGTCGAACCCACTCCGAGGCAAAGCAGTCAGTGCAGCGCGCAGCGCAGTACTTTGGGAGGGCTATGGTTGTGTCAGTGTCTATGCACCATGCACCATACTCTCCTACTCTCTCTGTCAAATTCAGCGCAAGACTCTCCAACAGCGTTGGAAGAAGGCATAAGCAAAATCTATTTATTCATGATGTGGGTTTAAAATCTTAGTTTCATTCTCATCCTGCAGTCGAGGGGGATCTTTTTACTCTGGTCTCGGTCATTTTCAACTCCGAGTCTGGAATCACCTATCAATGACCACACGTGCATCTACATTGAGAATATCTTTTTTGCTTCTCGTCGGGCTCTTGTTGCTTCGGGTTGAAGGCGGCATGCTTCAGTTCTCCACCACCAAAGATGTGAAGGCTACCCAAGATTGTTCCATCTACTAGTAGCTATTGTACATACCAGTTTTATCAGTGGCTTCATTACTGTCGCCAAATCAAGAGATCTATTTCATACGCCTCCCTCAACTCCATCACACGGTATATCTTCGCTGACTTCTCACTTCTTTGGCACGAAAATTTGAGACGTCGCTTCTCATGCCAGGCATATATAATACCGTTGATGCGATACATGATACGTGCCAATGCACATGGTGAGCGCATGGGTCTCAATCAGAAGTCTCTGATGTCGTTGATGTCTTGGATGTCTGTTAGACACTATTTTGTGGACGCGCACCAACCAGGACTGACCACGACCCGAATAGCGAACGTGGAAAATGTTTTTGGCGAGGGTCCGCAACCCCACACATAGAGGCCGTCCCTATGTAATGTGAGAATTAGGAGAATCAGGTCATGTGTTTGGAGTTTGAATCTCCGTAGAAAATTTACGTAACCAGGACTGGCCCCTCTCGAGATTCCCACTGGTATATTGCTACGTCGTTCAACGGTAGGAAATGGATTAACGGTCACCATGCAATCGACGCGGCGAACGAACGTCACAGAAAGAGATGGAGGAAATTTCCCATGACTGGAATCTGATCGGTCTCGCCTGTTTCTGGTACATTTGTACAGACGAAACATCGTGGCGTTGATGTGTCGAAAGTGACCCCCATAAGTATTGACTATAATAATTTAGCCACGATTCCAACTCACCTTTCCTGCAAACACATTTCTCTTCATCAACACGGAAGGCGCTTCTAACAGTTGAATCACTTGGGCGAGCACGCAAAAAAATTTCACTGAAGAGTCGTACATTGCTGCACATACAACACACATTCATTCACGCCAAGACAAACAAACTCTTGCTCTCTTCTCTTACACTTGCGACTTTTCGTCCCAACAAAAGAAACAAATAGTAATAGTCACAAATCCGATCCCCCGAGTCATACATCAAAGCTTCACTTCTCCTATGCCCAACATGGTTCCTATCAACTATCAACATGCCGTGCAAGAATCACATCTTCGTCGCCTGGAACAACAACAGCATCATCAACAACAACAACTAGTCTCTGCTTTCTCAGCCTATGCTGGAAGACCAATTTGGATCCCCTCCATGGTCAGCGTTCCCGCATCAGAACCGTCTTTCCTATCGTGCCAAACAACGCAAACGCGTCCGCCGTGTCCTCCTACGGCCACTGCAGGAGTCGCAGCACAAAGCACTACTACTACTAACACCGCAAGACCCATGGCAACGCCATCGCAAGCACAAACAACGCAAACACAGGCACAACCAGCCCCAAGTGCCGATGAAGTCTGTGCTGCTAGCGTCTTGATTAGCTTTACTCCCAAGGAAGGAACTACCGTTTCCAATGCTCCAAGCCCGGTTCCGAGCATGGTGAGCGAAGCTGTGGTAATGCCAAAGAGCCTTCGAGACTCTCCTGGACATGTCACGGATTCCTGCACTTCCAGTGCCGCTTCGGCTTCCAACTCTTGCAATGAGGAAGACGCGAGTGTCTGTCATTCCGCGGCTCTAGGATCCACGGCTGAAAATTTTCCCAGCTATCCTCCGGATCAAAAGTGGCACTCGGGTTGCATTTCCCTCTCTCTTCCAGAAGACGAAGAGGTCCTTTCTCCTCTGCATTGCTTCATGAGACGCTATTGCGTAGAAGCTTTTACCGCCGCTCCTCAAGATGTTGCCACTCCTCGCTATGGCAAGTCTCACGGACTCAAGGTGGTGACTGGACAAGTAGGGATTCGCTGCATGTACTGCAAGCATCGCCCTGTCGGCAAGCGTCCAGAACGTGCCGTCTGCTATCCATCTTCTCTCAAGAATATTTACCATTCCATTGAAACATGGCAACGCCGTCACTCTTTGGTTTGTCCCGACATTCCATCCTGGGTTCGCCAATCCATGGTGGATTTGATGGAATCCTCCAAGTCAAGAGCTGGTGGAAGACGTCAATATTGGGAAGATTCTGCCACCCGCTTGGGCATGGTGGACACTTCCAGTGGCGTCCGTTTTATCCGCCAACCAGGTGCTGTGGAGACTGCTCCTTCCATCAACCCCACTGGCTTTGTTCCAAACAAGGTAGTGGCAGACGATGACAAGGAAATGGTCACGGACTACTTGTTCTTGCTCATGGATCAAATGGAAACTTGCCAGTTCACGGAAGAAGACCGCAGTGGTGGCCGATCCAAAATCAAGAACAACACGGTTGGCTTTCCTGGAATGCAATGCAAGCACTGTCAAGGCAAGGCGGGCTTTGGCCGCTACTTTCCCTCTTCGGTCAATGCTCTCGCATTGGCCAACAGCGACCGCAATATCAACAATCACTTGCAAAAGTGCCGTCGCTGTCCTACGGAAATCAAGCAAGAGCTGGCCCGCCTTCAGAAGGATTCCACTCAAGGCAAGAATCGTCGTGGACTTCGCAAACTTTTCTTTCGAAGAGTCTGGGAGCGAATCCATGGACCGATGGATGCCTAACTACCTGCAGCAGTATGCGCACGCAGCGAGTGTACACTATATATGACGAACTGTGTATGTGTGGTGTGAGCATGATATATGCATGTTGTATGAGGTTTTCTATAGAATATTATGAATCATCCATTGCTCTGGGGAATGCGCATGATTTCAAAAAGACCAAAAAAGAAGAAACTTCCATTGATACCTATATATATACAAAAACAACTACCTATAATAGACAATAGACAAAACTTTCATTATAACTTTTCATTTCTAGATTTTGAGTTATATTGCAGATAGATAGATATGTCTATGGATTCATCGCAGGTTCATGGAATCACGAAATACAGTCTTGATGATTTCCAGTGACTTGGACTCGTACTCGTTAGAGCGTTCCAAGTCTCCTTGTTTTCGCAATGCAAGGGCCATTCCCTTGTAGGCATCGGCAATGTCCGAGTGATGATTGTTGTCACCATATACCTTCACATAGACTTACAATGCCTTTTGATAGGATTCCAAGGCTTTGTCAAGGTGGCTATTGGCCAAAAAGGCATCGCCCTTACGACAATGGGTATCTCCAATGGAAGCATGTGCTGGTGAAAGGATTTTGGATTTGAGTTGCAAGGCCTTGTCCAACATTTCCATACATTCTGCAAAGTTTATAGTGCGGAGTATATTGCCCATGTTATGGTAAATTTCGGCCACTTGAATGTGCTCTTCTCCGAGTTGCTTTTTCATCAGTTCCAAGGCTTTTGTATTCATTGTCATTGCTTCTGGGAAGCGCCCCTGGTCATAATACACCAGAGCCATGCTCCGATAAGTTTCTGCCACGGATGGGTGGTCCCCGCCGTATGATTTTTCATAATTGACGAGGATTCTTTGGTACAACTCCAGCGCTCGGTCAGTTGAATCGGAGTACCATCGCGAGATTTGCATATGTCTTGGTCACTGAGGGGTGATCTGATGTCTTATAATGTTCCTTCTTGATTTTTAGAGATCGCTGGAAATGCAGTATAGATCCACGAAGGTCAGCTTGCTGTTCAAAAAGTAAGAGCCCCATCTCATTGTAAATGTCTGCCAAAGACACGCCGCCCTTTTGCATAAAGGACCAGTCCAAAGAGTATCGATATGCTTCTAGCCCTTCGATTGGATCTTCCCCAGAATTCTCCAACCGAATATCTATTGCCTTTTGATAGAATTCCAATGCTCGTTCTACTTGACCTAGCTGTTTCAATGTGCCTGCCACAAAGTAGTAAACATCTGATAAGAAAACATAATCTTCTCCATTCCTCAATGTTTCGAGCACCAGCACTCGCTCCCAAACTTTGAGTGCCCACTCATGTTCACATAGTTGTTCTTCAAATAGCTTTGCCAGTCGCCTCAGCCTTGATCTATCTTCTTCTTCACTTTGTTGCAACAGGTCGTCCAAGAAGGATTCGTTCACCACGGCCACACCTTTACCAATCAACTTTAAATCGTTCAATCGTTCCTCCAGACTACCAGTCGCCCCCGAAAAGTAAGACCGAAAGTACTCATAGTAATTGTGCGTCATCAAAGTGTAATCCAAGCATTGGATGGCTCGATGGTGCACTTGAATCTCACAAATGTGTTGAAAGCCGCCGCCACCATCGAGTTGAATGTGAAAATTAAGGTCTCGATATCCAGTCAAGGCGGGAATCTGAAATCGATTTTGAACCTTGACAATGTGAAAGGTTTCGTCTTGCTCTAAAATATCAATGCATTTCAATACTTGATCCGCAGACTGGAACAAGATGCTACATCGAAGAACATCATACAACCATGCAATACCTGGACCAGGTACGCGGCCTGAATAGTCATCCTGAGCTTTGCGGCTGGCTCTTTCTCTGCCCTTGAGCTCTGGGAGCTTTATCTCAACAGTATCTGGATCGTCGCTGAGACTTTGGCAGACTTGTTGCACCAGCTTCTCGACCTTTTCTTTCAAAATGGGCCGAGTAATGTGGGCGGCCTCATACAACTCATTCATATCTTCCACTGGCTTTCCAGCCAGTGATTGTTGCTGATACTGGGCTTTGAATCTGCATGGCCCGCCATCTTCAATCCCATCCGAATCGTTCTGGATGGAGCGTGCTCGGATGCGCTGAAACTCGTCCACTTCCAAGTATATTTGGCGTCCATTTGTTCCCGACAATCCAGATAACTATTGAGCGTTTGAAGGAACTCTTTGGTTTCCGGTCTCAATTCTGACGTCATGCTGCGAGACACGCCGCTCAGTTGCATCTTATAGTCTTATACTTTTAAATGAATGGTGTACTATTGATGGATGGATAGCCATTGCAAACAATAACACTCATGTTCAAGAATGTTATCCTACTGTTTGAAATCTTTTTGTCCTGCCGGTATCTTTTAGAGGTTCGCCAGTACCTCTTCGACGTCAGCCCGCCCATCCGTTGCCACTGTCTCCAACCAAAATCGAAAATGAAAAACCAGAACGGAAAATAAAAGGGAGATAAAACAACAACTTGAAGTCCAACACAGCTACAGCATACGGTAGTAGGTATAATAGTTCCTGAAGTCAACGACAACAGCATCATAGAAAATTTATTTTTAACATGAAACCCCTTTCCACAAACTACGACGAAGCTAGCAGTGGAAGCGACGACAGTTCAGTGGAACATGAACCAGTCGTAACGACCAAAGAACGACGACGAGAATTGGAAGGTTCAGAGTATGAAGATGATTCCGATAGTGACAGCAGCAGCGACAGTGATAGTTCCGATGATGACAGTTCGGATAGCAGTAGTAGCAGCAGCAGTAGCAGCAGCAGTAGCGACAGTGATGGCGATTCGGAATCGGGTGGAAAGAAGAATAAGGACAGCGAGAATGATGATGACGACGAAAACGAGCAAGAAAATGTCTCTGCGGATGCGGAAAAGAACGACAAAGAACCAGACTGGGATGATCCCGAATTGCCGATCTACGAACGCATTCAACGAAGGGAACAAAAAGGCATCTCCATGTCAGAATCACGACAACGAAAGGCCAAGGCATTGGTAGCTGCGTCTCGTAAATTGGCCATGTATCAAAAGAAGAAGAATCAACGAGAAGAAGGAGAGAATGATCGTAGTGAGGGTAATGGCGATGAAAATGATGGCCGACCCCGCAAACGTTCCAAATCCAAGCACACACCAACGGAAGTGTCGTCCAAACGCAAAGACTTTTTCCTCCGTGGTGCTCCCAAGCTGAATGAGAGTGGATTGGGTGTCGAAATTGGTGCCAATCGGTACAAGCCTCTGGACCCTCGAGCTTCCAATCTCAGTGGTCACTTTAACGAAGACCAATTTACGGAAAATTATGAATTCTTACAGACCATGCGCAATAAAGAAATCAAGAAACTAAAGCTGCACATTGCAGCCCGCAAACTCAAGGGCCGTCGAGGCCAGGCTAAGCGTCAACGGTTGGGTATTACCAATACGGGATCACTGGAAGAAGATCAAGACAAGCTGAAAGAGTTGCAACAAGCTAAGGCCGACTGGGAACGCAAAAAGTTGAATCGCGAAGCCAAGCGTGCCGTCAAGAAACAGTTGAAGGACCAAGTGGAAGCCAAGGGACAAGATGGGGTCTACTTTCTCAAACGCAAGGAAAAGCGAAAATTGGAGCTACAGGCCAAGATGGATGCCATTCGAAAATCCAAGGGCCAAACCGCTGTGGACAAGGCTGTCAACAAGCGGCGACAAAAGCAAAAATCAAAGGATTCCAAAATCTTTGCTCGATAGTGCTGGAATACTGTTTGAGTATCATTTGATGATGGATCATGATGATGATGGATGATGATGATGATATTGGCAGTATTAATAAATACTACTAGCTATTTTCAGATCACTGCAAGATTCCTCTCAAGAAAGGTGTGTATCTCATCTTCCTGATGATCTGGGGTGCAAGGAACAAATACTGGCCAGAACTTTCTTCCTACAGTATAAAAAGATCTAGCTAGAGAGAGAGGAACTTTAGAGTCACATCCTGGAACATTGTGAGTCAGTCACTGCTCTCATTTTCGCCCCAAGACAAATTCCAACCAATGAAATTCCGTAGGTCCAAAGCTCGTATCGAATCTCGGAGTTTTTGCACATATCGGATCCCGCTTCCATCGAAGAACATCCTATGTATCATAGTGGGAGTAGATTTTATGCGTTGGATTCCTACTTACACAAGTCATAGTATGAGAAGCCACACGTTATTTTTGGTCAACGGCACCCCACGAACCTGTTTTGAATCTTTGAATCATTGTTGAGCAGAATCGTGTTACCATTCTCATTGCGAACGCTTGACAACACTTTCCCTGCTATATCCAAGGAATCTGTCAACTGCAGAGATTGATAGATACTGCAATACTGCTATTACTGTTATTATAAATATCATCATACAAAAGCAACAATGATGACATCCATGTGGCAACGATGGACCACCACTCCATCGTCTTCGGATGATTTCTTGTTGGAAGAGGGAGCCGCCGCGGAGGAACGCGATGAACACGATGAACACGACGACTTGCCCAAACAAGTCCACGTGGGTTTGTCCATTGATTCCTCTCACAAAAGCGAGACTTCCAGTCTGAGTGATTTTGAAGAAGGAATGCCATTGTGGGCCAGAGACAATACTCCGCCTCGTTCCAATTTGCGGACGCTGAATGGTGGTGAAGACGGCAATAACATTGATGATGACGATGATGATGGTCAAGACGAGCCACCTAATCATCGTCCTCATGTGCCATTGAATCTGGAAATCGATCCAATTGGATTTCAAATTCCAATTCCCCAGCGCTGGCCTATTTCTTTGGACTCTCCGCATACATCGACCTTGACGCAGCGTTCCAAGACTTCCACCATCCCTTGTTCTTTGCCAACGTTGCCAATGAATGGTAGCCAATTGCGAGGACCAGACGATGATGCTGTTGCTAAAATGGATCCATTTCAAATGCAAAACAAAAAGGCTGTATCCGGCAAAAAGTTGATGCGAATGGTTTTTGCCGTTCTGGCCATTGGACTTATGGCCGTCTCGGTTCATCAACAACGCGCTCTTCCAGAATTGTGGTGGGAACGTGAACAAGGAGGAGCTAAATTACGACGACACAATTTGCCTACGTTCACAACACAACAAAGAAAGGCACAACCCCAACTAGCTACCTTTGATACCAACAACCACCAGGTTCCGCAACGCCGATCCAATTTGGCATTTGCTCGAGCTTCTTCCCAATTGCCCGTCTTTGAAACCCAAAGCGATGACGAACTATTTACAGACATTTCCAATTCGAGTCCCTTTGTATCCTTTTTGGGAGGATGTGCCTTTGTTGCGATTCTACTTGAGACGGGGTGGAAGGGATACCAAAAGTCCAAATTACAACGCAATCAGACACAAGCCATTCGACGGTTGTACAAACAGACTAACTGAATGGATCAGGATTTGGTTGCTGTTGTGTTGTCACTAAATCATAATGCTTTTAACTACTACTAGAACGCAATTGATTACTAGAGTATTATTTTGTTATCTATTGCTCATGCAATTTGGATGGAGATGAGAAGCTATCTACTGTGCCACGTTGAAGGCCCTTTTGTGGTGTCAGCCCTCAATTTTATTGACAGACGCGACCATCTCGCCAATGAATGGCCTTTTTTCTTGTGGTGATAGGGCCGGTCTTCTCTGATCGGATGACTGATGATTTACAATGTTTCATTCATTCTTCCCGATCAGACAACAGAAGAATGATGAATGAATAGCGGTAAAATGATGATGGTGATTCTTCTTTTTTTATGGATTTTTAAAACATCCCTTTTCTGTACAGATCAGATTTCAAAACGTGAACAGTGACTTCGCGGGTGGTACTACACGCGGCGGGGCACCAGGCCACCACCTTGGTGTAGAGATCTTTTTCTTACATATCCTCGACCCAGCCAATTCTCGGTATTTTTGGTTTGCAAAAACAAGAACTACTACTAAATGCTGTACAAGTGCCCTGGCATTGGCAGTACAGTAATGCATCATCTACTGCATTTATTATTACATGAAAGTATCCAACATCACCATGAAAAGAGGAATGCCTCGATCAATGACCCATGCGATCCACTTTAGGGGACAATAAGTGCCAACCGAGAGAGGTGAAAAAGCCAAAATGTACGATAGGACTATCTGATATCATGAGAGTATTGGTAAAAATACTTGGAAACACTTGGCAAGTATGTTAAGTTGACTATAGAACGATGACGAGAGCAAGAGAGATGTCTGTTGTTCTGTATGAACATCAGTATAACAGTAGGACCCAAAAGGGGGAGGAACCCCGTGACACGAAAGCAGGTTTCGGTCACACCGGAAAAACTAAAACCTGCACCTCCTCGCAATACATATTTTATGTAACCGGCATTAGCATTCTGCAGCCAATCCTCAATCACAACAATAGTATTAGAATTTCAACAGCTACAACAAAGTTTGCAGGTCAAATTATTTATTCCAAGACTTCTTCTATTCTAGGATAATAAGCTTTGAAAAAGAGAAGAAAATTTGTGGATCTCCAAAAGCCAACAATCATAATGTTGTCCAGCAGTTATAGCAAGATATATTGTGTGGTGGCACTCTGCCTCGGCCTGTTAGTCCAATATACCAGTGCGAACGCAATTGACCTTTCCGTATTGGGCGAGAATTCCTTTGACAGGCTCCGAGTGGGATGGGCGCTCACCGTCAACGAGCAATGTCTTTACGAGTTTTCGCTTCAGTTCGAACACGACGAAACCCTGCCACTGGGTCAAGATAACTTTGAAGGCGACTGTAGTATTTCCGGTGGTGGTAATGCGGCGGATGGCAAGCCCATTTTCGATGCTCGTTCGAGTTGGGATCGATTTCCCAGATATGTATGGGCCACTACTGGATTCCATCACATGAGCATTGATTGGTATCCCTGTGGGATCTTTTCGGGAACGGCAGGCCAAGCAGGAGCGGATGGCTATTCCACCGCTCAATATCACTTTTCCTTCTTTCGAGTGACTCCTGAATTTAGAGCGGAAACAATGACATGTGATGTTACGGACCAAGTCGTCATTCCAGGAGAAAAGGTTTGCAAATTGGAACAAGATGCTACAAATGACAAGGGACTTGGCTTTTACATTTTCCCTGCCAGTATAACTCCCGTGGGGGTGGCTGACAAGACAGCCATTGTTAACATGCCTGATGGATTCAAACCGCCAGTGTATGGGACAGCCCGACCGCATGTGGGATTCCGTGCTTGGGATCAAACCATGACACCCTTTGCACCGGACCAATGGAAGGATTTGCCAGCCTTTATGAGCACCTACGCTGGAGATTTGGCCATGTTCCAACCCCATGTGTCGTATCGTCAAGTATCAGGTGACACATCCAAGTTTACTGCCAATGCCCAGAGGTACCACAGTGAGACCTTGCGAAGTCTCCCTGATTCCTTTTCGGTTCATTACGATTCCAAGAATGGGCTCATTCATTACCGGATGGTGGGCAAGTCGCAGCTGTGCAAGGAAAAGTTTGAATCGGCCAAGGCTGCGGCGGGGGGCGATCCAGTCTTTCCCAACTACAATGATTATGCCTTTCAAAAGAATTTCACCGAAAATGGCGGAGAAGGCTTTACACAAACTGGTGGTGGGGGGTCGTCGTCTGCTTTTGCATGGGACAATCATATATTGCTGACCCTGGGCATCACAACGACTTGCATCGTTCTGTTAACTACAGTATTGTAAATTGCTTTTATCTGTTACAACGAACAATCATTTGTGAACATAACCTAGATAACAAGTGATCAATGGACTAGATTCATACAGTATTGGAACACCGAGCTTGTGCAATGGAGGAACGCAAAAATGGAAAAAAAAACATTGCGTGCTAGTTTATCTAGTATACACAATTGCTATATTTTAACTTCTTCGCGCAGTAGGGCAGATAATTTAACATCTCGATTTGAGAGAAAATATGTTTGTAGGAATCCTCTTTCGATTCCCTACTGTAGGGTCTAGATATGCTGTGGCAATGTCATTTCCAACTGGTATTTTCGTCCCCATTAGCAATATCTACGCCGTTTAGACTCTAGTTCCTGTCAACTTGGAACAGTTGGCTGCAAGTATACACTCTATCAGCAGCAGGTGTCGCCGCAGCTTTTCCGGGCTGGTCCTGCAAGATTTTAAAAATGGGAGCCTGCTGGTCTTGAGAGTAATTCTTTCATTTTTCCGGAACAACACGAGGGTATTCTGTAGTGGCATTATTGAGCTTTTCAGTAATTCAATTTGTTCGGGATGCGCTTTTGCTCCACGCTCTTGGGTTCCCACCGCTTCCGGCGGTACTTGATTTCGGCTCGTAGCGTAAAACGAGATCCAGTGGGGTCGCAATCCCGACAGGGCTGGGTGGAATAGGATACGCAGCCGTTCTCGGCAACGGTCAAGGAAAAGACAAAGCTGGATACTTGCTTGGGCCAGCATCCTGTATCCTTGAGGGCGATCCACTCTTCTTCCGTGACCAACTCAACGACAAGATGGTTTTCGCGATCCAATCTTGCGTTCTGGTTAAATTCATTATTGTCGTCGTCGTTGTCATTGGCGACAGCATTTGTATTGCCAGTACTATTTGCTCTGGGGGCTGCTGGTGATCGAGGTGGAGCTGGTGGAGCAACCTGTCCTTGAATGCGCATAAAGGCCATTTGCTGAGAAATGATTTCGGAATGAGACATACCAGCAGCTTGAAGAGCTTGCATTGCTTCCGAATCTACTACAGGAGGACTTGCGCCAATGGGCAAACAGTGAAAGTTGGCGGAACGGGATGCGGCCGATGCCAGGTAGGACGGACCATTGTCATCTTGTTCCGAAGGTTGTTTCTTGATAGTCGACAAGAGCTGTGAGGTCTCTCCATGGAGAAAGGCCTCGAGGTGAGGCGGTAGGAGAGCAAACTTGTGGGCGTCACACAAGAGCATGGAAGCCTCTGGTGGCAAGGGCATTGAGACGTCTCCGGTCTTGATGTATCGGCGCCATTGGTGACACCAACTTCTTGGGATCACATAGTACTTTCCAGCAACCAATGGGCAACTGTTCTTGGAGGCACAAACCGCGGCATTTGGAGTTGACGCGGATGTTTCTTGCAAGCGGTGAGTTGGAAATCCTCTTGTCCTCGTGTAGACCCGTCGGACATGCTTGTTGGAGAGAGGCTCTTTGCGTTCCAATTTTGCCTTTTCAGCTGCATCCTCTTCAGACTTTTTAGCAGTTTCCTTTTCCATTAGACACTGCAGGCATTCTCCATTCCCACTTTCCAATTGGGTAGAGTCGGGATAGAGCTTGCGCAAAATCTTCCAGGCTTGCTTGTCCATGAGACGACGGCGAGCCCTGGCTGACTTGGCATTGCATCGTTGCAAGTTTTCGTGTGGGCAAAGCAAATCCCCGTTGACATCGGGCCACGGTGGATGGACGTCAGACAATCGACGAGCACGTTGACGCTGCTGCTTCTTGCTGAGCTTTTTGGTCGGAGCAGGTTCGTTCATCTTTTCCAACCACAATAAGGTCTTCTTGACCCAAGCTTTAGAAACATAAAATCCTGCCTTCGGTTCAGCTGAAGAGAGGGCTCTTGCTACAACAGTAAGTTCCAGGGTTCGAAGGCTTCCCAAGGTATACTTTCCGTTGCGAACGCCAGGAATAGTGGTGCCGGAATTGTTGGACGAGATGCCCGTCTCTTCCTGACCATAGACATGTTGAGCAGTGAAGGTCACAACTTTATGAATCAAATCTGGGTCATTGTAGAATCGACAACTTTGCTGAACTGTGGTGAGATCGTAGGCTCGCAAGTAGGTAAGTACAGAAACTTGAATCTCGCGAGGGAGAGCAATTATGGTGAGGGAGTTATCAAAAGGAGGGTTGTTCATCATCATCTTTGCTATCAGGTACGTATCAGAATCTTGTGGAGTCAGGTGAAAGTTGAGGTGTTTTCAAGTGATTTTCAAGCGAAAAGAAGTAAGCAATAGATATGCTAGGCTGTGCGACTGATCTCTGCTGATGCTGATAGTATCCGATATCAAGGATGATGAGAACAAGAGACGAAAGATATTTCGAATCTCTGGAGGTACCGGTATTCCTGCCTGATGATGATCTTCAAAAAGGCTAATGACACTGTGGAAGCAAGCCGTCGCCGATTTTTTGGATTCGCCCCCTTTTGAAAATTGCTAAATGGTACAGTTTGTATGTGAAAAGTACGGAGATTCCAATGTTGAACCTGAGGGTAGATTCGGGGGACATAAATGAATCTTAGAATTGATACTGTATTGTTCTGAAACTACTTGCGTACTTTTTCTGTGATTTTGAAACGTGGACCAGTGCAGTATGCCGGTACAAGTACCTGGGAACAAGGGACGAGGTCCTATTCGTCATCCAGGCTTCGACTACCCACTGGACATCCAACATATTCCGCCCCCGATACCGCTACTAGTCAACTGCTTGTCCGCAGAATTGTTCCCAGCTAGTTTTCATTTCTGTCATTTTCATTGGATCTCAGATGTTCGATTCACAGTCTCTAAGGAGCATCCCATCCTTTGATCGCATAGCTGTGTTCCAAGTCCCCGGCGAGACTTATACGATTGCCTTTGACTGTAGTTCGTAAGATGCTAATTCCAACTCCTGTTTCACCACTATTCCCAATCCATAAACTGAAGGTGCTTACGAAGGTCTTCTTTCCATCGAATAGTAGTTCGGTGGTGCCCTGGGAAGAGTTCATACATACTAAGGTGAACTTCAACAGTCATCCTACCGCCTTTGTTGGCGGGAGTGAAGTTTGAAACATTCATCGGCGCCACCTTTGCGACACCAATCTCGAACCCAATGCATGGATATTGCTTACTAACCTTTGACATTGCTGGGTTGACATTATTTGGATCGAAGTACTGGTCGTCCTCATCAGGCAGAGGGAACGATGCCGGGTTTGGATTTGTCCATGATTTTTGAAGATCCGTTCGGACTAAACCCAAAAGCCGTTCGTATTTTGCCCACATCATTTGGCCCCGCTCAAAGCTCAACGTCTTTCCTGAATCGCAACGGTACATTTGCACGCATACAATAGCAGTTTTGATCATCTCCACGCCGAGTTCATCCAAAGAGGTGGCAACACATTTTTGCCAAAAAGCACTCCTGGGACTGTTGGATGCTGTGGCTGGTAATGGGCCCTCGTGTTCTGCAAACGAACCAATAGGAATCTGGAAATCGATATCTTTCATGAGTATGGGGGATCCTTTGCCATAGATTAATCCATCTTCCATCACGTCATTCAAGTTCCATATCGCATAACCCATTCGCGTTCGAGTTGGAGCATGATACAGATGCAAAACCAAGAAGACATCCTCCAGCTTCAACCCGGGCGGACAGTACGACTCTGAAGAACAACCTTGTTTGTGGACTATTGACATGGCTTCCTTGTGCCTTCGTTTCAATGCTCGCTCCTTCACAGCGTTTCGATAGCTTATGGTGGTTTCAGTCGGTATGCAGTACGCATCCTGCCGTAATTTGTATTCGCGTAGTGCAAATTGTTTGAAAATTTGTTCCGGGGGCATCCGCTGCTCATTTTTATTGATGGTATTTACTGTCGCCTCATATAACAAGGGAGAAATGTTCTGGAGAAATCGTTTCCAAGTTTGTGACACACCCGTTGACCACTGTTTACAAACTGGTGCACAATTCATTATTTCCTCTGGGAGCAGCCATCCTAGTATCAGTGTTAGGTATTCTGTATTGTAAAGAATAGTAGATGCCCCCTCGTGGTTGAGATCAGCCATTACGGGACTTTGAATAACAGTGTCGCCGTTTTGATGTTTGTCAACGAGCGTGGTGGTGAATTTCAATTTTCAAATTGAGTCGAATGAATCCATTGGCAACGACAATCGAACGATACGAATGAACTGCTCCATCTCCACCCGTCCACCCGTAATACGGCTGCCGTTGTTGTTTGCCTCTTTACCAATATTTTCACTCGAAATCCAACAACATAATTGCCATCTCCACTGCTTTTGCTTCGATTAGATCGGAACCAGTCGGTCGCCAAAAGTCTTGCAGATGATTCACTCACTCGGGGTCTCTACAACTTCAAAACCCCATGCAGGCGCTGCATAGTAATGAATAACGTTGTATATTAATGTATAGTATTCAAGAGTATGCACTCTTCGGCTGATGATAGACTTATTATTCAAGTCCAAGCACACAAACAAAATTCTAGCGCATGCAATTTTCCATCGAGCCCTTCACGTGAAGTTCGACGTGAACCTCCGTGCCAAACACGGCAATTTTTGGATACAAACACTAGACTTGTTAAGTAAAATTATTTAACAGCATATGATTTTCCTACAGGAAAATCCATTGAGGTTTGGCCGATGTGAGTCATTTGGATTCAAATGCTCAGTATTCGCACAGGTAAAAAGCTTTGTGCCGTTTTGGAAACCAAAAGTCTCCACATCCTCTTTCAGTTTCGACATTACTATTTTTGCGTCTGCTCTTCCTAGACAGTTTTCACAGCAATGAAGTCCTTCTATCTCATTCTTCTAATTGGTGCTCTATTGGTATCCTGGAAGATCAAGTCAAGCGAACGTCCCAGTGATGATCTCGTGCCTGATGATCACCTCGTCCGTCATGAACGTGGCCTCGTCGAGGCTGCATTTGACTATAGTGCGTCACCTTCAACTCAGGCTACAAAGAAATGTGCCTTGATCAATGCTGTGGTAAACGAAACAGCAACCGAGTCTGAGGAACAGACCTGGGTGGTAGACACGGCCATTCCCACCAGAGCCAGGAGGTACTACAATATGGAAGGATACGATACTGTGTTTGTTTGCGGCAACGCGGTTGGAAAAAGTAACGAGACGGATTCAACGTCCTACCGCTACATGGGCTGCTCTGTAGCCGACTTGACTGGTGCCGTGGCAAATCCTTCAGTTGTGAATTGGAGCAGCACCGATCCAGACACTACTGTCACCGATGCCTTGTCCACAAGACTTTACAATGCCTTTGAACAGTCCATGGCAAGCCTTCCATCCTCAATCGAGGGGATTGATTTGTTGGACACCTGCCAGTATTTGGATAAGAAGCTCCTTTTTGTTACAGATGAATTTGAAATGCTGATTGAAAATGCTTTGGAGGAAACCGGTCTCAAGGCCAATATCCAGAATAGAGGTTACATCCTCGATGCAGTCTCACATTGGAATACTGGATCGTATGTTGGCACCTACATTTCCAGTGTGAGCTAAATACTGGCACTAGAACTGTGGCAACTATAACGCCATTTAGCTTCATGGGTCATCTAATGCTGGCGACGATGAGCAGGGTCTACCCGCTAGCTCTTGGTCTGAAACGAGTTTTGCGAGGAGTATGAAGGCTCATTCTCCCCATTTGAGCAAACCGACTTCATTTTTTATTGTGAAGGACCCTCATTCGATTGTGTGTTAGTGAAAGACCTTGATAGCAGAATGGTTTCATTCGGATGTACGAGTAGTTGTGATTTTAAGAGAGCTGATCTCAACTCTGTAAATCAAATATTCATTTATGGCCTGATTTAGTGTCTTCCAGAAGGTCCCTACGCTGGCCGTCAAAACCACTCAATGCCCGAAACATGGCATGAAATTCGTACAAATACCCTTCCTTCTTGTTCCACTCACTTGCTGCATCAAAAGACCATGGATAACATAGATAACTTGTCTTTACAGGAACCCCTGTTAGCATCGGAAGGTGCCGAAACGAATGCAATTGGAAACTCAGAAGAAGGAGAATCCGAAGAATATATTGCCAACAACAACAACAACAACAATGAGGATGGTGACAACGGCATTGACAAGGATATTGCCATTTATCTATGTGGAAAAGAACGAATTCGAGTCAACCACAACGTTTTTCTGAATCTACTATTGTCGTTAACATATGGCGTCAGCGGGTCCCTCTGGAACGGAACTGCTTTTGCCGCCTACCTGAAACTCTTGGGACATGACAAGAATGGACCATTAGGAGATATTGAAGCTGTCAATGGCCTGGCTTCGTTGATAGCAGCACTCCCTATTGGATATATGGCAGACAAGATTGGTCGGTCCAAAATCATTGCCGCAGGTGGGATCTTGCTTCTGGTAACCTCTGTGCTTCAAATAGGTGTCTTGGAATGGGTGGGAACTTCGGTTGACTTTGCCACGGAAGAGCAACAATTGACCGCCATGGTTGCCATGGGAGTCATCATGGCATTGTGGGGAGTTGGCGATGGAATTGTCAATGGTCCTGCTAGCGCCTTGTACGCCGATTCGATTCCCGAAGGAAAACGGTCGCTCTATTACAATTACTTGTTTGTCTTTTACATGGTGGCCTCGGCGGTTGGACCGCTCGTGTCCATTATATTATTTCAAACCTTGGGGGATGTTTGGGACATATATCATTTGCGAATGGTTATCTATGTGGGCATGGGTATTGAAATCTTCAATTCCTTAGTCATGATGTTGTTTGACGATGCGAAGGCGTTGGATGAAGAACCAATGTCGCCAGCGTCGTCCACACCTGAGAATCAAGAAGAAGGATGCAATGACGAAGCTGGTCAACAAATTGAAGGAGAGGTACAAGATGGCGAAACACAGGGCAATAATGCTTCGTCAAGTGGCCCACGAAGCGGTATCATGACCCAAAGATGGATTCCCTACATTATTTTCTTTCAAGGACTCATCATGGCCATTGGATCCGGAATGACCATCAAGTTCTTCCCCCTCTTTTTCAAGGATGAAGTCGGCATGACTCCATCTCAAGTTCAACTTGTCTACTTCATTCTCCCTTTTGCCATGGTGGTTGTCTCGACCGTTGGTGAAAAGTTGTCTTCCTGCGGATTTGGGCGTGTCCAAACGACGCTCCTCTTTTCTTGCATGGGAGTCTCGTGTTTGTACGGTATGGTCTTTTTCAAATCGTATCTGGACAGTCATCCCCTTGTTCTGGTGCCCATTTATGTAATGCGAAGTAGTCTAATGAATGGGTCTTACCCACTGGTGGAATCCATCTTGATGGACTTCGTTCCCAAAGACGAACGAGCGCGATGGAAGTCTTTGGATAGCGTAGCATCCTTTGGTTGGTGTGGAAGCGCTGCCTTGGGCGGCATGATTGCGGACAGGTACGATTACACTCATACATTTTTCGCGACAGCAATTGTGCAATCGATTGGAATTGCCGTTTGGGGGCTCTTGTTGCCATTGGTGCCTCGAACAGAAGGGCAACATTCAATGATGGAAACATCGACCACAACGGAGGGTGAAAATGAGGTTGAATCCTCATAATGGATTT